GAATTGATTTTGAGAAAAAGTTCTGAGAATTAATACTTTGATTTTGAGATGATAAAATTGAGTAAGTTTCTTCAAAAGTATTCAATTAAAATTAAGGGGCGGATTTAAGGCGGTTTGGCGGACCTCCCCTTCCCCAATCAGTGAATCGACCTTCTCATCAACTAAAAAGTACCACCTTTGGTTTTGTTTAACTAATATTTTTTAAAACATTTTTGATCTGTTTTTTTTTCAAGTGACAAAATTTTTTGAAAATCACAACCACCCCTCTCGAGAAACATTACGAGGCCAAAATGTGCACAGTATAGCCGCACAATTTTGTGTCTGTTTGTTCCTGGATTGCAGAGACATGTCTTTAAATATGTTCCAAAATGTAAGTGGATTCCACTAACAAAATTTCAGTGGATTCCGCGTACAAGTAGCTGTAACGTAAATTTTGTCGGCACATTTGTTTTTTTGCGGATTCCGCAACAAGCAAATATAGCTAGTTGTTCTGTATTCCTCAACTGTTAGTTGATTCCGCAAAATGTAAGTGGAACCCGCGAAATGTAAGCGGATTCCGCAAATTATAAGAGGATTCCGCATTTTTGTTTATTGTGGGTATCAAAACAAATTTAAAAATATTTGGTCCAATATCAACTAAAAATGAGAAAAATCAGTTTCATGAGCTTTTTTGTCTGCAAAATAATTCGAATGAAAAATTAAATTTGCTTTTTAGAACCAACTTAGAGTTAAAGTATAAAAAATGAGCCTAAAACATTAAATTTTTGAGTAAAAGATCAGTAGTAAATATTGCGTGAAGATTCTCCCCTTTGCATATGAACAATTAAAAGCTAGAGGTGGAATATTTGACTAATTATCTATAGCAACGCGCAAGTTGAAAGCAAGGACTTATCCAACTGTCAGCTGAACCCACAAACGAATCTTAAAACATTGATTAACTATACGGATGTCAAATTTTTCTTTATTTTTATCGGATGATCGGATGATTTCTGGGATCGGGAAATACAACCATCGAAAGCCATCGCAGTTCAGGGTTTAAAAGGGCAGTTCATGATTGAAATGGGGGCATTTTAGTCACTCATCAGTATTTGAGATAATATATTTCAGTTATGCTTGAAAAATCATCAAAATTTATGGTTAAGAAATTGAGGTTGACAGGTATTTCAACTGGTAGCGGATCAATGTAGCTGAGAGTGAACTTCCTGATGATTATCTAGTAAATAATAAACAAAAAAAAACATTACCACATATAAACCATATATGTAAATGGAATCCGCAAACAAAAAGCAGATTCCACCTACAATTTGCGGATTCCACTTACAGTTTGCGGATTACACTTACAGTTGTGGATTCCGCAACAACTCAACTTACGATACAAAAGTCCTATCAATTGTTTGTGGATTCCACAAACTGTTCTGGATTCCGCAAATACAGTTGCGGATTCCGCAAATTTGCCTATTTTTGGAGCAATTCCGAGCGGTACAATGTTTTAGGTATTTGTTTGTGGAATCCAAAACAGCAAAGAAGATCAAAGAAAAGCAACAATTTTGCGGATTCCACGACAAATCTGATTTTTGGTTGCTGCGGATTCCGCTTACAATGCAGAGAATGCACTGATTGGCCTCGTAATGATATCCTAGGTCCAACCCTGTCCTACAGGAATTGATTTTTACTTGAACACTCTTGATTTTGATTTTTACTTTCAAACACTAAAAATCAAAAAAGTCTGGCAGCTGGTTGTTGTGCCGAAAAATCTTTTCTTTTTGTTTTCTAACAAAACTGTTTAAAAAAAACGGAAAAACAAATGTAGTTTTTTTCAATATTGATCTGAATTTGAAGTTTTTAAAAAATCTTTAATTGGATACCGAAACAAGCTAAGACAGTTAATTTCAAACGGTTCTAAGTTCATTCAACTCATTTTTTTTAAATTTTTACAGCTAGAATGTTTTTAAATGATTCAAAATGATTTTTCTTCTTTTTTCTACTGTTTTATGCAGTTTTAAAACAAGAAGTAATTTGAAGGAGAAAAATAACTAAAAAATAAAAGCATTTGATTTCTACATTTAATGTCGTGATGATGTTTGACGAGAACAAAAGTATAAGAGTCACTGAAATACTAAATCATTTGAACCAAAACTCACAATTAGTTTAAATTACGTAATAGAGCGTGAAAAAAGGGTCCCCTAAGCATATAGTTTTTAATAATTGACACTCCTCAACCTGATGTAGCACCCTGCAACACCGATTTTTTTTCTTGACGAACATTTTTGTACTCACAATTTTAAAAAACGATTAGATAAACAATTTAGTTTGGAATTAATTGGAGGCTATAAGTTTGATTTTTACGAACCCCCATTAAAAAATTTAAACCAAGTGTTTTTCAGATTTTTGTAATTTCGTCAATTGCCCAAGCTTATGAATTTCTTTCAAAATGTTCTGTTGTTTTTTTCTTTTATTTTTACAGGACATAAATCTAAACTAAACTAACTCGGATCTTGTTGAATTTTAGTTTTCTTTTGAAGTCAATTTTTCAGAAATGATGATAATTTCATAGAAGTTTCATAAAGATTGCTAGCATAATTTGTAATTGCTGGCAAAACAGTATTTCCTTATTTCCTTCGATAACCTCAGATTTATTTTTGGCAGCTGATGTTAAGTGAAAAAAAAAACACCTGATGCCTAGTTGCCCTAATATTGTGATCGAAGCTAAAGAAAATTTTTTGGCTCTTTGATACAATTGAAATTATATCAGTAACAATAAGCAAAGAATTGCAATCGATTTTATAAGTATATTGTGAAAAATCTGAAGTAAAAGAATAGAATTTTTTGTTTCAATACCACAACATAGCTAAAACAATCAATTTCAATTATTTCTCAGTTCCTTCTATCTTGTTTTTTTTTGTAATTTTTGCAGCGAGATTTTCATACACGTTGCTAAACACTTAAAACGATATAAGCATAATTTAACTTTGATGAAGAAAACAAAATTTTTTGTTAGACATATTTTGTTTTAGGTTGGGTTTCAAAGCCTTGATTGGTTTGCGTAGAAAAGAAAGCTAGCTAAATTTTAAGCTGAAATGATATTTTATGATTTTTAAATTTATAAATTCTTAGCAAGTTAAATAAGTTGCGAGTTTTTTTAAATGTAAATGACTCTTCTAAATACTGTAGCTATCTGCAACACAATGATTTTTTCATTTTTTATATGTTTTCCACGCACAATAAGGTACTACAAACAAATCAACAGATTTAGTCGAATCAGATGTCATATTAAACCTCGTGCAGTCAATGAAATATGTCCCAATAATTTGTATCAGTTTGATGAAAAAGCGGTCTGAAACTTTTGATTTTTAGTTTAATAATTTCAGCGAGTAACAAACGCGATCAAGAAAAGTACCTTCACCACATGAAGATTTGTTCTGAAAAGTTTGATTTTATCGAAAAAACTAGTTTTGTATGCTTTATTGGTCTCTTTCTTGGCATTAAAAGTTTTGTTGGAAAAAAACTGAAAAAGATATTGTGCAAAAAAATTAAAGTTTAGAAACTTATTGTTTGACTTTTGCTTCCATTTTTTTGCTAATCATTCTTCAAATCAAACTGTTTTTTGTCAATTATACTTATTTCACTAAATTTCCATACATTTAGCTATTGCTCTATTCAAAACACGTACAAAACATTACACTAAAAATGAGAGAAAAAAGCTTTTAAGTGGTTTATCTGAATGTGGTCGGAACATTATGGGCTACTTGCACGGCAACCGGGTATCCTTATTTAGTAGGTATTTAGTCAGTTTCTTCCAAGCAGCAAAATGAACCTAATCAAAAAAATTAAACTACTGTAAAACTGGAAAGTTGATTTAAATAATGATCAAATTGTACTAATCAAAATTGAAGCAGTTAAGCGCCTCAAAAAAGTTTTTGAAGTGAAGCAGAATTTTCGAAGCTTTTTTATAAAATCACAATCAAAATTTGTCACTACATCCCGTTAAGTTTGAATCTAGGATCATATTTTTATACAATTATTGAGTTTATTCACTGGTTGTTTGAAAGACTTTTTCAAAACCAATTAGAAAAAACGGTAAGTATTGCACAAAGATTGAAAAAACGATATTGCTGAAGATCTTTATTGTTCCGACGTTCGCAACGAAAATAACGGAAAATTTGTGCTCGGGGTGTGTTATTTTTCCTCAGACAATTTTCCACTATTTATTTTTGGAGCGAAATTGATCACTTTGTAGTTTGTATGGCGTGTGAGTGACGGCTTCACAAAAAAATCTCATATTAGAAAAAAAATTCTATTCATTTTTTTATTACATTTAGTTTTTCATGTTATTACTGCTCCATAGACCTTAAGAGGCAGTCGGAACATTCAGGGCTTCGCGCTGATACCAGCTGTCTTGTTAGAATTTGATGTCCAAATAGATTTCTTTTATTTTGAAAAAAGACAGAGTATATAAATGGGGCTCGTCATTGCGACAGCACTTCCACGCGATTGCTCAATCTTCCGTGGGTGACTTTTAAGGCAAAATCTTAAGACTAATTCTAGTCGCCAGTCTCGTCGAAAGCTGTAAATATCCCTAAAGACACTTGGGAAGGCGGATGAGTGGCTTCACCGTATCACTATTGTATAATAATGATGGAAAAGATTTTTTGAAAGAAAGGCAAAAACACCAATCCTATAAACTAAAGACAACGGCTGTTGAAAAAACTGCATTTGTACACCATTATGACACATGTTCTGGAACATGTGCGGAGTCATCGAATTTAAGTTGCGTTTTTTCGTGATTATTCATCAGTCCTGCTTAAATACCGAAGTGTTTTGTACCAATCTCGACTACGTAAAATTCAACTGAAAAGCCAATTTATTTTGGCCACCAAAGAATTACGTGATTATTTGTTTAAGCTATGCAAAATTCATGATTTTCACTTTATTTGCTATGCTTTTACATTGTGAGCTTGAAGATTTATACTTAAATTTAATTTAAACTTTTCTGAAACAAAACGTGCATCGGATTATAACTGGCACGTTTGAGTAAAGTCTTTTTTTTCTGTTGCAAACCAATATAGCATAAATCATTGTTTAAAACTGCTACCCCGATGTTTTTTATTACAGATTCACAATTAAATAAAACCATTGTATAATAGAAAACGATATAAATCAATAATCTTCGTGCTTTTACATGCAAGCAGAAATAACAAAAAATTCTTCAAAATTAATGTTCTAGCTTCAAAATTGTCAAATTAAAACTTGAAGTGCTCCAGAAAAAGTTTCCAAAATGATTTTTGGAAACTTTTATGACAGTTTTGGTCTCGACTAGTCTCGGGAGTCACAAATTCTAAATAGCAGCAAGAGTTACAGTCACCTGAAATGTCTTCACAAGTCCAGGTGTGCGTCAGAGTCCGCCCCTTCAGCGAAACGTGAGTATTGAAGGGACGGAAGATCTAGCTTTCTTACAACTCAAAATAAGGAAAAGTTCAGAAAACTTAAATTTTTCTAACTGATTAGCTTTCCCCGATCATTTTATGAAGCCTTGACGAAAATAAAAATTCAATGGTCGAACCGATGTTGCATATTCAATCATAACTAGAAGGAGCTATGTTGCACAGATGTCATATGTATGTTCATTACGCATGTTAGGATCATGTTAGACCTTGTAGCGTTACCAACAGCTAAGTGTCATAAACTTTAAATACTTCCCTAGTTGACCAAACTCGCTATCTTAGGACTTTTCTTAAAAGAATCTAACAAATTCCCAAATTAAAATTACTAGTTTATCAAATGAGTTTTATTAAATAAATTTACCAAATTAGGTTCTTAGAACGTTACAAGTAATGGACTCTTACTTATAAGAAAGTTGTAAAATATGAATTTTTCCTACAAAAATATCTCAAAGATTTATTTTCATTTTCATTTCGAAAAGTCTCCTATAACCAGCTTCAAAGTTCTCCGCTATTGCAGATAACAATGACGGAAACTCGTAAGCCAAAAGACTCTTTTTGCTTCATGAGTTAAACGAAATAAATCATTTGAGTTTTTTGCTGACAATCTTTTTGCTGACTTAATCTTTTTTGCTGACAATCGTTTTGCAAGATGAGTTTTAGTTTAAGAAAACCAGAAAATTAGTTTAAGAAAATTAGTTTAAGAAAACCAGAAAATTTGTGGATATATACCTAAGGCCCACTGTCTTAACCAATCAGAATCGAGACAAAGTGAGATATGAAAACCATTTCTTTTTTCTCGATTCTGATTGGTTAATACAGTGTCTGAACACGCGGTTGTCTAAATACAGACCGCTCTCCAACACGCTCAAAACTATATGAAATGACTCAATGTTTAAGTTAGGTCAATGTTATGTTAACTTTGTCGCGGATTTGTCAACGAGCGATTACAGCTACTACTTGTTTCAGTTCCGCAAATGTAAGCAAACTCCGCAAATTTATGCGAATTCTGCAGACAGTTTGAGGATTCTGCTCACAGATGCAGATTCTTTGACAGCTTAATATCAAATATCATATTAAATATGAATTACTATTTGTTTGTGGACTCCACGAGCTATTCGGGATTCCGCATATTTTATTGCAGATTCCAAAAATTTTATTGCAAGTACCTTTGAACCGCCTATTTTTAGAGAAATTTTAAGCAATACAGTGTTTTAGCTATTTGTTCGAAGAATTCGAAACAACAAAGAAGATCAAAGAAAAGTCGCAATGCTGCGAATTTCGCGACAAATCTTTTTTCAGCCTGTTGTGCAATCCGCTTACATTTCACAAAACGCATTTTGGCCTCGTAATGACTGCCTCTAAAATTTCCAGTAAAGTTGAGCTTTTCTGTTGATCCAAAATGATATTCTCAAACAAATAATAGATCTGAACGTATCCTTCTGCTTCTTCCTATTCTGAATTGAGGTGTTAAAAGACCCTTTTTTACTATTCATGTCAAAAACGTTTGCTAGTGAACAATTACATTAGATAAATATAAATTAGTTCAATTATTTTATCGGCGACAATACAACTCGGCCAAGATTGAATTTTTTTTTGCTGAAGTCTGACGAAATTACCCCGTCTATCAGCTTAGAAGTAATGCAATTACTTGTCGCGAAAATATCTTTCAATAGTAGACAACCGACAATGCTCTGTTCCCGCACCAGCAAAGAAAAGAATCCGCCCGTACTGGAGTTCCATGGATGATAATTGATTAAATTGTTATTTTATAGTCAGAATGTATAAAATTACAAAAATAATCGATTATAATCCATCAAAAATGGATCATAATCCTAGTATTTTTATATCAATATAGTCCATCTCCCCCGTCCCCGTTCAAAATGGTAAACAAACTGGGGGGGGGGGGGTAAAGTGTAACTTGGGAGGTTTGGGGGTAAACTTTAGTAAACATCGGGGTGGTCGGAGGGATAAACGAAGGGGAGTGGGGAGGGGGTTTGGGCAAATGCGGATGGGGGGCAAAGAGGGGGTGTGTTAATTCGAGTAGGTTAGGATTTCGAGTATGTCGTGAGTAACGCAGAAATTTTGAAATTTTGCAAGTTTTGCAAATGTTTTTGCGTAAAAAATGTAAATATTATAATCCGTTATAATCAATTATATTGGATTTTAAATGGACTGTACTTTATTATAATGCATTTTAATGGATTTTGTTTTTACGAAAATAATCGATACTAATGACAATATAATCGATTTCGTGGTCTAATTTTGCAACAATAATTGATTATAATGACAACATTTTAGACAACAGTTTTCCATTCATAATCGATTAGAATCCATGGAGCTCCGGTGCGTGCGAGTTGAAAAGATTAAACGCAAAAAAAAATTGAGAAGTCAAATTAACACGTTCAACTATTTTAGCAGAGACATTCAAATGCACTTTAGACCTTAGTTTCGATATATGCTTGAACCCAGATATTTCGCAAACACAAAGTTGAATGCGGTCTGTTTGAAGCAGCGGATGAAAAGTGCTGTCGAATTACATAAACTGCAGTTTATTTAGACTGCTTTTAAAGTAAGCTTATTTTAATTCAGCCAACCTTCCACTCTACTAAGACATTTTTGGATACCCTGAGTTGTTGGGAACCCTGTTTCTCTATTAGCAATAAAAAATTGGTCATCTGCATAACGAATATGAGTAGTCCTGCAAATGATGAGTTCAATTCATAAGTGTTCCCTGAGAAGAGCAAGCTGGCCTAAAATAGATCCGTGCGTAAAACTAAAAGGCTTCTGGAGACACTCTGACTCTAACCGACAAATTCTACGTGTTGAATTCTGTTCCCGGGTTGACCTCCATAAACCGAAAATGCTTATCTTACAATTCCATGCACCGAAAAGGCTTATCATACAATTCCATACATCAAATGTATGGAAAAATGCTAATCATACAATTTTCATACGATTTCAATAAATCGGTGAAAAAAATCGAACTAGTTTCTGCGGCTATTTTTACCGAATAAAAGTCTGTTGATGATAAAAAACTATCTTCTTTTTTTTGGAAACAAAAAATGGTTATCATACAATTTCCATACCTGAAAATTTTATGACTAGCATTTTTTGATGGCGACAGCAAAAACTTTTCCACGTAAAATTGAAATTGCCCCAAACTTTTTTTTGTTTTATAAAATTGTAGGCATTTTTGGTCAACCCGAGATAGTTATATAATTTTTATTTTAACTTCCATGTTGGCTTTTCATATTTCATCGGATTTCATATTTAGTGAAAAAAACTTAATTCAACTGTTAAAATCAACAATTGCCATCGGACTAGAAAGAAACTTTGATCCATTGTGAGTTTAATTAGTTGAGCAATAACGCCATTATATATGTGCTTTTTGCGAGAATTGAGTTAAAAAGAGAGTAGAACAAAACTTTCATAGTTAAGAATTCAGAGTTAATTTTCGAAACAAGTTTGATTTTTCCCCTAAAAAACCATAGTATTTTTGCTTATTTGAGTAACCGATTTTTAAAATTCATCAGTAACGCTATCTCTAAAAGGCAAGCAAAATTTTTTGAAACTGGCAAAAGCAGTTCTTATCGTTTTTTTTGCACAAACTATATTTACCTTGCCCTTTGATGAAAAAAGTCTTCTAGTAGACAAATTTATCTGATGCAAGAGGAAAAAATTTGATGTTGGACAACTCATTTTTATGGAAACCAAAACTTGTGCAAACACTTTGCAGACTGATGTGAAAGCAAAGCAAGATTTTGCACGATCATTTTATCATCGGTAACTTTATCTCGCAAACTAAAATTGTTTGATTTGACAGGGGCATTAGAGTTGAATTGTCTAAAAACTCTGGGGAAAAGTTGAGGAAAGCCTTGCTAATTTTTCCAGTTATTTTCAATTCTTCTAAATTAAAAAAAATATATATTCACAAGCGATGATAAATTGTTTACATCTTTGTTTCTCTGCCTGTCAGAATAACATATATATTTGGGGAACCCTCAAAAATTGAAAAAAAAATCTTGGTAATACATTATACAGTTTGCTCAGAGCAAATTTATTCCCATTCGCTCCAACTCTCTTGGTTTGATATTATGCTCCATAAGTGAGTGACGCTGAATTATATACTAGCAACCCTTCTATGATGTAAATGATATCATTCAATTTCATTTTTGAAAAAGCTCTGATACAATACGATTTTTGTTTGAACAATTTTTGTTAATTTAAGCGTACACTGAAAGCATGCTTCTCCAGCTCAACTCAAGGAAATACACTTTTTACGATCATGTAATGACGCTGTTTTATTTAACTCTTGGTTTTGAGGTTTTTCAAAACCTATTGAACACTGGTCTCGACTCGACGTTGATTTAATTGCTAGTCATTTACGTTTTGAACAAGAAAGGCAGAAGTTATTCTTGTTGAAATAGAAGTTTAATCACATTTGGCTTTGCTATTCTACAGAAATATCAAAATTAAATCTCAGCCATCGACCCAAAATATTGAGCAACACTTTCTGCTTAAAAATATTATTATGGATCTAAGTCATTGCACCGAAAAATTGACAGTTATTTAGGCTTGGCCAAAAATTAAACACTATACAGTTCTCGTGCGTCGTCTACAAAAGCATTTGGATCGGTTTTAAACAATAATATAATGAATTAAATGCAAAAAAAAAATTTAAATGCTTGCTTGCTTTTTTGTGATGTTATGTTTTTTTAGTTCAAACCTGGTTCATTATAATAACATCAATTGAAGTATCTCAAAATGATGTTTACATCTGTCAACATCAGAATATTTTTAGAGTCTCATCACTCTCTGTGAATTTCTTCAAAACATCCATTATTGTTCCGACTTTCGTAACAAAAATAACGGAATATTTGTGCTCGGGGTGGGTTATTTTTCCTCACACAAAATTTTTGACTATTTATTTAGCCATTTTTGACAACAATTTTTTATATCAATTAAAAAGTATTGTTGTCTTGAGCTGAAATTTGAAAGTTGATAATTTCAAGCTGAAAGTTTTCCCATTTTTTGCCTTTTGCTGGTTAATCAGATTAATTGTTTCGGCTTTGTTTCAGTTTTCCATCCCCCTCGATATAAGAAAACAAAAAAAATGTTGAAAAACGTTCACGAGGCATTTGCTTGCAATAAGTTTTGTACAAGATTGTTCTCTTGTTCACGCTGCCACATTTTGATGCAGTTTGTAACATGAAAAATCAAAATATATAGACTTCATATATTAAGTTTTAGACTCTTTTTGAAGAAAGATACAGAATATTTGTGCTCGGATTGTTTTTTTCTCCCGACAAAAGATATTTCCCCCTGTAATTTTTTTGTGAAGTTTTGGGGGTTTAAAGATTGCCATTATGGCCAATTTGGGACAATTAACGCGCGATATATTTCGCGTTATTAACGCGTCAGCGAGATTTAATTCGTCTTAGAAATTATTCCAAATTGGAACAAGGTAATCTTTATGCCATTATTTATTTGTTAATAAGACTAAAATCTATCACTTTGTACTTATTATGACGTGTGGGGGATGTTTTCAAAAAAAATCAACTTTTTTTTAATATCTTAAATTTATTTGATAACGTTTAAATTTTTCATGTTATTACTGCTCCATAGACTTTAAAAGGCAGTCGAAACATTCAAAGCTTCGTCCTGATACGAGCAGTCTTGTTCGTTTTAGTTTTCAATCGAGAGCTGGTTTTTTTTGTTTGCTTTGCTATTTGCTATGATACAACCGAATAAAGGCCATAGTCAAGTGTCAATGGATTTAACACGTAAACAATGCCGAGCTTTGCAATCATTGCAGTGCATAACAAACATAACGTTGCAAATTAATGGGCAGAAAAAAAACCGAAGGCATAAAGTCTAAAACTTAATTGAATGGAACGCCAAAAAATTGCAAAAAGTTCAATTTATGTCTGGAGTTAAGGTCAATTAGAATAATAAAAGTCGAGAAACGCAGCGCCTAGAGATAAACTAGAACAGCTCTATAATTATCGAACTGTAAATAGGCAGACAAGACAAATGCTTGAGTAGAAAACTAGTCAGCTGAAAAAAAAACATATAACTTTTGAGCCATTAAAAGTAAGACTCCAAATTGTAAAGTGAAAAACAATAAATCATCAAAAAGATGTTTGCTTTTCAAACAATTTTTTTTGAAGCTAAATTTGGGTTACATACGCCGAAACCATTTAAGCCGAATATCCATTAAAACAAAAGCACGAAATAACCACAGAAAGCTCATGCTTGGCGAAGTACGCCGACAAATTTTAGACTGACAAGCGATAACCGCACAACACAAATTTTACCAGAAAATTTTTAAAAATTTGTTCGGCATTAAGTCATTCCGTTATTCCAGCCCCATCCAAGCCCTCCCTTTTTAGTTAACCACAAAACTATATAGGGAGGACTTGAGGTTACGTAGGTTTCATAATAACGCAAGGTCAATTTCTTGCATATTTCTTTAAAAAATCGTTCACCAGGAAAAAAGTCTATTTCCCTATTACAAGTACATTTGCCACGCAGGTGAAATAAGATTGGAGGCTTTGAACTATTTTTGAACTTAACATTTTTAAAATTTAAACAGTCTTGGAAATTTTTGTCAAGCATGATCCAAATAGTGTATAACGTAATAGACCAAATATAGACAGAAAATTCCATTTAAAAAAAGTTTTTGATAAGAATAATATGAATCTAAAAATACTACCGAGAAAAACTGTTTGAAACGAGTTTGTTGTTTTAGAGAGGAAGCGGCAGACTCTAGAAACGTGATCACTGTCCCACCCGACTCTGAAGGCCATTTATTCATCAGCAAACCTGTCAAGGTACTAATTAGTTGGATTTCAATTTTTTCTACTTTAAAAACATTGCTTCTGATAATCATATCAGTCACAACTCATACAGATTTCTAACCGTCGAAAAAAAAATTTTAAATTATAATTGCCAGGTTTTTGTTCCGACCATTGAAAATTGGAAGGATCTTTGTATTCGGATGTATTTTAGTTTTTTCTTTTTTGTTTTCCACGCAAAATCAAGTGCCACAAATAATAATCGGACTGTGTTGAGAGATATATCAAATTAAAGCCCTTTTAGTCTTGACTCGAACAACTTTTAAAAGTCCAAAAACCTTTCCAGTGTTCAGAAAAACAGATATGAAAATTTTTAATTCTCGTCTAGTTTTGAGCGAGTAAAGCGAGTAAAGACTTATTATAGAAAAATAGTCGCAGATTAGTACTAACGTTTGTTTGAATGTCGTATTCAAGTCTTAGAAAATCTAGTAAATAATTTTTCAAATTTTTTAGCGCCATCTTAGGAATAAAAAACTTCAAAAACATTTCTGTAAAAAAAAAATTGTTCTCCAATCTGTCTTTTTCAATGAATGTTAAACATGTCTAAAATATCTTCCTTCGTTTAGATCCTTTCAACACACCACACACAAAAACAATTGCAATTAAATTTTTGAAACTCTTTTTGTATTTTAATAAGAATGTGATTGGTACATTCCAGGGGCGGATGTAGGGGGTGAAGGGGGGAGGATACGCTTCTTCCCTCAGAAAGGGGGTACGCTTCTTCCCTCAGGGATTCGACCCTTTGCCGACCCAAAGGGTCCTTTTTTGTACTTTTTTGAGATATCCAGTTTTTGGTGACGGATCCTAAAACTTTTCTAAAAGCGCCTTCGGCGTGAGTGGGAGCGCGCGCCGAGAAAACGTGATTTTTTGTCAAAAATTTCCAAAAAGTGCGTAAAAACGCCTCTTTGGGCCCGTTTTTTCAACATTTTGCCTGCGGCGCAGAAAACTTTTAGTGCTTTGGGAGAACTTGAAAAATCAATTTGCTCGACCTAAAAAAAAAGGTCGACAAAAGTGGTTTATATGTTGCGTAACCTCGAAAAAATGGATGAGTATAACAACTTCATGTGTCTATGACCTTTGTTTTGTTCTGATGTTGTAGTACTTGAGTGTGGCTGAGCAGCAGGAGAAGATCAAGAGGAGAGATGTGGGCAGTGAGTTCGACTTCGACAAGGTCTTCGACTCCTCAAACCCCAACAACCCTACTCATACATATTCCACGCAACAGACGGTAGAAGCTCATGCTAATCTAAAATTCATATCAGTCTAATTTTGAGTCAACTAGACATGTGTATTCTTCAATAAAACGCACTGTTTTTTTTTAAATAAACCTGATTCATCAAAGCTGCTTAATTGAATTTTTTGTGATATGATTGAAGTTGTTTTCATTTTTTTTAAAGAAAACTGTTCTGAGAGACCGGGTTTCATCAGGAAGTAGGTTTCATCGTCTCAGTTACTTTTCCGAAGGCGTGTATTTTTATTAGAAGAAGTAAATGGCTCATGTTGGGGGTATGTGTGTATTGCATGCTATGCTATTGTCAGGTGTTCGACCACATTGGACGTAGAGTGGTGGAGACTGCGTTCAATGCGTTCAACTGCACTGTGTTTGCATATGGACAGACTGGCAGTGGCAAGACATACACCCTCATGGGATCCACTCTACAGGATGACCAGGTCAGTCTCCCAGCCTATCTTATCATTTCTTCATCATACGTATGTATGATAAACCAGCAAACATCCTAATCGAAACGACTGTGTTTTTCCGTCTTTAAGAGTTAGCAATTTCTATTCTTTGATTTATTCAGGTGTATTCTCGAGTTTTTCAAGTTCTAATAAAAAGTAAAGTTTTTTCAAAATGAGTTGAGCTCCAAAAAATTCGAAATTTGAAAGTTTTTGGAACCACACCTTTTATTCATTTAGGAACGTGGACTTGTACCTAGAACATGCGAGCATCTGTTCCAAGAAATCCAGCGAATCAACGACGAAAACCCTGAAGACACTTTTGCCCGGTTCAAGGTCGAGATTAGTTTTCTCGAGATATACAACGAGAAGGTGCGAGACTTGCTACTACGACAGTCGTCGAATGACGAAAACGGACTGTCGGAGGAGGGCGGTAAAAAGAGATCGAGTAGAGGGGGGAGCAAGCAGGCTTTGAGAGTCAGAGAGCACCCTAAGGAGGGAGTTATTGTAGAGGGGCTGTCGAGACATATAGTGAATGACTATGATGCGGTCGAAGACTTCTTGAGAAAGGGAAACAAAGTCCGGTTAGTTTTTCGCTTATCAACAAAATGAAAACAATGTCACGATATATCCTGTTCTAACCAAACTCCCACCCCGCCCAACGTGTTGGGGGTTCCTAATCCAAGCGTTTATACATAAATTTGAAGGATCAATGCATCTGTGTTTTTCCTTGCAAATGTTTTTGTTTTTCATTGCAGAGTGTCTGGTGCCACCCATGTTCACGAGCAAAGTTCAAGGTCACATGCCATCTTCACAGTACACTTTGTGCAGGTAAAGTCCACATTCTGCAGTAAGCTCTATCAAGTTCTGTGAAATAACAGTCTGATTGAAGTATAAAATCAAATCATTTTTTGCAGGCTGACATTAGCGATGATGGAATTCCGAACGAGAGAGTGGCCAAAATCAACCTAGTTGATCTCGCCGGATCGTAAGTCGCAAACATTGCAGACCACTAGTCAGTTCCAGACCATAACTTGTGCGACAAAAAGTAACGAAACCAACAAATAAATGAAAAGTTTGATACCATGGTTGTCTGCACTCAGAACAATTAACAAGGCATTAGCAGCATAAATGAAAATCATGTATACATTTTTCTAGTCTTCAATTTTTCAGAAAAATGCAACTTATTTCAAGGAGTTGTTCTTTTGTCCATGGTTTGATAATATCTTGATGTTCCAGGGAGAGAGCGGACCCCTCTTCAGACTACAACAGAGAGAGGTTCAAGGAAGGAGTCAACATCAACAAGTCCCTCGTGTCCCTCGGAAACGTCATCGACTCACTTGGTATGAGCAAAACTGTTCAAACAAAACTTCTCGGTGATTACAGAAGAGATAAAGAACATCTTCTTTTGGGTGTCTATCAACCAATTTGTTTTTTGCAAACTTTTTTTCTGTTTACATTCGGGAGAATCAGTTCAAGGTACCGACTGTACTTTCAGCCGAACTAAGTCAACAGTCAAGCAGCCGTCCCAGCGCTGCCACATCCGCCAAGCAGAAAGATCAGCCGAACATCCATGTGCCATACAGAGAGTCAGTGCTAACCTTTCTGCTAAGAGATTCTCTTGGAGGGAATGCGTACACAACCATGATTGCAAGTAAGTAATCCAAGCTATTTTGTTTTCTCTTACAAAAAATATACCTGTCGCCGCATACCAGCACATACTAGAAAATTAGGTTCTCAACGTTAACAAATTGTTTGTAATTACCATTAGCATTTTCATCTATGGAGGTCAACCCGGAAACTATCTTTTGAACGATTTCTGTTTCGAAAATTGTTAAGGTAGCACTAACAACAAATCATTTGATCTAATTCTGTTCCGAACATGAGCTTGGTGCATGAAGGGAAGGGACCATTTTAGGATTTTTGTTCATTAAAACTTTTGCCGACGTAAGGTTTTCTTGCACAACTCTATTTAACTGTTGATTGATTGTTTCAGCGGTGTCTCCGTCGAGCAGTGCGTATCACGAGACCATCAGCACCCTTAGGTATGCCTCTCGCACTCAGGTGATAAAGAACCAGCCGGTGAAGAACGAGGACCCCCAGATCAAACTCATCAAGGACCTCAAGTCTCAGGTGGACAGACTCAAGCAGATGTTGGAACAGAAGGCAAGAAAAAAATTTCACGGACTTTTTGTTTCTTCCATCTTCCATCAAAATCACTGGATAAACTCATACAAAAATATTCCATGAAAAAATCAATTGCGTTTTGTTTCAAGAGCCATTTTTTACTTATGATATTATCAATTACCTGATATCTTGTAGTTCGATGATCGGTCGGTCGGTGTTCTAGAATGGTCTGGACGGTGTGAGTCAGGTGATAGAGGAGAAGATGCACCAGGGCCAGGAGCAGATCGACAACCTCACCCAGCAGTGGGCTCAACAGTGGGAGAGACAAAAGCTACTTCTCCAGGTCACTCCCTCACTCACTCAGTCAAAATAAGGGCAGCTAACAAGTGAACAGTTATTGATGCAGACTCTTAAATAACACAGCTGGAGTTCTCCATGAGAAACTGGAACAACTCAAGTGCTTGTCTTTTCTTCTTCTTATGTTCTTACTTAAAGAGTTCTTAGAGTCCCACTGCGCAACCCTGAAACCATCCAAACTTCTCTTTCAAAGCCAAACCATTCAAGAGACAATATTGGGCATTTCATACACAAGTTGTTGTAGAATGAAAATTTTTTAGACATAAAATAAAGAGTTCACTATCATGTTTTTGAAACTAATTTCTAATATTTAAGGACTCGGCTACCCACGACACAACAGGTCTGACAGTGAACTCTGAGTTTCCCCACTTGGTCGGGTTCCCCAACAACAGCACAAAGAGCAAGGCATTTGTAGTGTATCAGCTGTGTCCCGGCTCATTCTCAATCGGCACAGGCGACCACGAAATTGGTATGAAATATGATTGCTTCAAAAGCTTTTTTTATAGGCAAAGAAAGTTTTTTTTGACCAAGCACCTTGTAACAACTTACAAAACTTTCGGGCAAACTATTTTACAGTATGGCGTTTTAGCTTACGCATCCACAAAGCGCTTGTTCAGATTTATCTTAAGAGCACATGAATACCAAAAAATACAAAATCAAAGGTTGAAAAAAAAGTTGAAAAAATTTTTTTGCGAAGGAGCTCCATTTGTATGAACAAGTGAAAACAGTTTCTAAAAGTCTCAGATGTGAAAGCCTTATTCAAACGTTGAACGAGCTCGTTACAAAAAATCAATAAACAAATTTTCAGAGATGAGCAGTACAGCAAAAAGACTACCAACAACAGCACACAAAAACCCAAATGAGTCAATTGTTGTTAGGCTAAGAAAAATGTTAAACGTTATCCTAAATTATCATCCTAATTTTCTCGAAAACATAAAAAATTCTTCTGAACACAAAGAAAAACTATTCAATGATAATTTTTTAGATGGCTACATCCTGGATAACGAAGACCTCTTAAGAAAAATTTTCTATTAGTTAAGTAAGTTCCGCGATTCTTTTTTGTCTTTTTTTAGTATGGTTTTCTTTCCTCATTTTTTAGCGAAGACCAATAAAAATTAATCTAAGTAGTCACATGATTTTGGTTTCAAGTATTTGGAATTTATTTCTCACCCAGTATCAATAATTTACTAAATGAATTTCCGCTCTGAGACACCTGTGAACGGCCCATTGGTGCTCTCCTAGGCAGTAAAATTGTTGGCGTGGTTTGTAAATTTATTAATTACCCACAATCGAGTTGCCTGAAAACAGTTTATTATGGTTTTTTTAAGTTGCGGATATTCGATGATTTTTCTGTAAACTGCGAGAAAAACTAGACAGAAACGTTGGTGTATACAGGAATGTTTGTAAGTGATGTTCACTAGGTGTGTATGGATCCCCTTCGGATGAGATCCAAGGCGTGATCAGAAACGAGCGAGGTGTGATCACATTGGTGCCCCAAAAGAAAGATCACCAGTTCCAGATCAACAGTGTCGACATCTCAGCACCCTCTAACCTATATAGTGGGTGTCTGGTCCAACTGGGTCCGGGCAATCTGTTCAGGTACTGGGATCCCAAGTACGCGAACAAGCCATCTGTTAATGTGGAAAACCTAGAGGTTAATACACTTCCCAGAACTGAAATATCTCGTTTTTCGTGAATAAAACGCATAAAACAATTTTTTTTTGTGATCAATCATGTCCCAAATTGAATGCAAAGAAATCAATTAATGGAGCCATTCTTCAAAGTTTTTTAAAACTTCACGGAACTTGTGTTGTTGAAAATGGGTTCTTGCTCTGAGAATGACTTTAATGCGTTTCAGAACATGGGTGAGGAGCGATTGAGCAACCCACCCGATACTGATCTGACCAATGAGGCGGCTTTCCTGGTACCTCCTCAATTTTCCCGTCTGAGAGGCATGGACAGGGCAGCCAGTGTTATGTCATTCCAGGTAAACCCAGTTCGAGTGAAACGGCTATAATTCTTGGAGCAGTTAATTTTTAGAACCATCAAATCTGATAGTAACAGCAGTAGAAATTATTTTTCTTCCACAATAAAGGATCAATAAATTCTTTTGTTTTAGAGCCGCTCTGATCAAAAATATCAAAATAGATATATAAGAATAGCTGTATAAAGATTAGCTTTAAGCTTCATATTTTCCGCATTGCTGAAGCATTACAGAAAGCACTGAATACTTTCCCTGCTACAGTCGGTGGACATGGAGGAGTCTCTATATGGTGACCGGGGGGATGGTCTCCAGGTGGCTACTGGGGGTCTGCTGGGGGGCAGGGGGAGGGGCAATTTGGTCACCTCCGAGAGAACCCAGTCCATGGCATCCCTCTTGTCCGAGAAGGAAGTCATGCAAAAGTTAGTTTATTCAGGGATCTATATTGGGCACTAGAATATCAAAATAAAATCAAGGATAACTGATGTTAAATATAAGTTTGAAAAAACAAAGTTTCGGTAAAAAATCACTATTTCAAATTTTTGTTCCAAAAACTTGTTAGTAATAGTTGAATGTGGCATATTAGGTTAAGAACTGCAAAAATGAGAAGTATTTATAACTACAAAAATTGTAAAACTTTAATTCTCGAACTTTAAAAAGTTAATAACAAGGACAGCCGGTTCCTGTGCAAGTAGCACTGAATGTTCCGATCATAGTCTTAGAAAAAACACAAAATTTGTTCAAGGTGTGATAAAAAGGAGCTGAACAAAAAAAATTGGGCTAAGGTATATTCGACCCCACACTAAAATAAGCAAAATGGAAAACAGTTTTTGTAGAAAAATTACCAGAAAAACAAAAAAAATCAAAGACGAAATTTTATTTTTAATAAATTTAACTTTCAGGTGTCTTCTATGTACAGATGCGTGAAGATAATCAGATTTCAAAAGAAAATTTAAAAAAAAAACAAAAAAAAATTTGAAAGAAACTAAGAATGTAAATTTTATTTTTAAATATATCACTCATTACCTTAGATTGACAACTTTAATTGAGTCACATCTTCTATAGTGGAGATGTCAACCAACCTTTTCGGTGCCCATAAATCACACAAACAATCAAGATACTGAGCTGATTAACATCTCTGCTGAAATAAGACAAAAAAAAACGATTTTCAGAAGCTCAAAAGTCCATTTGTATGCTGTGCGAAACAAGCGCACAGTCGCCAAGAGTCTGTTAAAAACATCGGCCCACAAGTTATTCATTTGACTTCATACACCCCCTCTCAAAGTCGAAAGTAATTACCAGCAGTTATTTTTCCCCAGACAAGCAAGAGGCGAATTGACTTCACACAGTTCATTTGAGTTCTGATCGCCGTATTTTGCACACGACGTAAAACTGGAAGCCTTGGCAATAGAATCATTTCATAATACTGTCTACTCTTTGAAAAAGCAAAAATTCTCCAAAACGTCCAGGCGCTTACATTTCTACTGAAAATTAAACATTCATCAACAACAGCTGAATTTGAGAAAGCAAAATAGTCTGTTTCTTTTGCTGAAAGAAAGTCGAATTACATTCTCAATTTTTGAGAGTGAAAAGGTTGCACAAAGCCTTTTATTTTAATGCGGACATCACTATTTTGCCATGATTAAAATTTTTTCAAGAAAATACTTCTGCTTGCTTAATGAAAGAACTTCTGCAAGTTCAAGCTATATCGTGTATTGCAATGGTTAAGATTTTTTTTCAATTTTCCATTTTAATTCAGTTTTTTTCTCACCGAATTTAAAATCAGCCACTCAATACTGAGATCATGTCAAGGCTGTCAATTATGAAAGCCCAGATCTTCTCAGTTTAGGAGATACGACGGTTTTTTGTGATTTTGCAGAAAGTTTTCCAAAAACTCAATGTAAAAAGTAAAAAGTAATTCAGAAAATTTGAAGTTCCCAACTGTTTAGTGGGGTTTTGTCAGAGTACTCTCGCGGATTGCATTTCTTTCCTCCAATTATAAATTCTCAGATCTTGACAGTTTTCAAGATATGACTTGTTTTATGATTTATTTTTAAATTGGTTTCTCAGAAAACTTATATGTTTTTTTTTTAAATCAGATTTGAACTTACCAACCTGTAGTTGAATTCAGTGAAGGTGCTCTCAGCACCTCTGAGATGCAAATTTTGCATCATCCAAACGCATCAGCTCAAATGCTTTTAATTTCCAGAACGTGACGTTTCTGGGGTCATTTTTTTATAATGTTCAAAGAACTTAGATATTGAAAAAAAAGTTTGAAAATCTTATCTCTATAGTGAGGCTCTGTTAGGGTACTACCAGGGGTCTCAAATTTTGCCTCCGAATTTGACTGCTCAAGTTCCTGTAGTTTTTGAGATATGAGGTATTTCATGATTTCTTTTTTAAATTTTTCGGAAGACTTACAATTTAAAAGTTGAAAAGATTTGAAATTACAATCGTTGTAGTTGAGTTCCGCGTGGGTACACTGAGGAATTCTATTTCCAAATTTTGCGTCCGAATTGCGATCGCTCAAATTCGCTTAGTATCCAAGATAGGTTGTTTGTAAGGTCATTTTTCTTAAAAATAAAAAAAAAGAACTTCGATTCTTAAAAATAAGCTTCAACAGATCAGGTAACTTCATATAACTATTCTCTTTAAGTTTCATGCTAAGAGTTTTAACTGGGATGATTTCTCAGATCATTGCACTTTTTCTGTTGATAGTGCGATTGCTACTCCCTCTTGTTTTTTTTTTGGTCACGCAAATGATTGAGCATTGTTTGGTTTCGCTCCTTGTTAAGAGCCTTGTTAGGTCTGGTTAGAGCGATTAAGACAAACATGCTTCTGACCTACACACGCTCTTGGTTCATTTAAAAACGCCAAATCAGACTTTGCAAAACACAAAACTTTAGCTGAAAAAGTATAAAGTATTCTACCAGGAAGAAATAGAATAGGCTCTTAAAGTTTTCCGACAAACTTTTAACAAGTTTAAAGTCTTGTCTCTGGAATCCAGGAACACAGAGACACAAAACTGTGCGCCTATCCATTGCACAGTTTCGCCTCGTAATCTAGGCTAGTTTTAAACAAATTTAGCCTACAAACAAAGTTCTGAAATTTTCATTATATTTATCGTCCGAATTGCGCACATGGAAAAAACATTTGTTTTCTTCGTTTTTTGAAAAAACTTGACAAGGAGTTGATGAATATCTGAGAGAAGTAAATGTTTTTCCGTAGACATTTTTTTGGCTCCACTTAAAAAAGACGGCCTTTAGAAAAAAAAACGTATGAAAAACAAACATAAGCTAAGTTCACATAAAAAAACCTAACCGATCAGCAAATTGCAAATTGTTTTCTCAAAACAGTAGAGCAGATGATTTGGTAGCCTCCAAGGTAACGGTTGTTCCGGCAGTTTTTTCTCCAATTTTCGCATCGTCCTTTTCTGTAAGATAAACGTCAATTTTATTACATCGTCCTGCAATTCCAATCGAAGCGTCCTTCTAAAATGAAGCTATAATTGTTATTTGTGTTCAGGATAGCATTGGCAGATTCATTGGCCGATCAGTTGAATGAGGCGAACAGACAGATCGAAGACCTGAGAGAGGCGAGGGAGAACAAGGACGCCCAAGACGAGGAAAAACGACTGGTGAGACATAACTGAGTGATTAGATTTAGTATGATTGAAGATAGAAAATTCAGTTCTTTTATAATATAAACGAGTGAATATGGAATGGAGCTACCACAAATAAATTGCAACACTGCTGCTATTCACATAATTTTTCCAGCAGTCAGAAAAAACCGCACTTGCTATATGCAGGGGCGGATTTAGGGGGGGGGGGGGGGCGGGGGGCGGACGTTCCCTTTCCTTCAGGGATTCGACCCCCTGCCGACCCAAAGGGTCCCCCCTTTGATACTTTTTCAGAAATCCATTTTTGGCCGATCGACCCTAAAATTTTTCTAAAGGCGCCTTGGGCGCCAATATATACTAACTTTGAGGGGGAGTGCGCGCCAAAAAAAACGCGATTTTTTTGTCAAACTTCTCCAAAAAGTACCTAAAAACGCCTTTTTTCAAAGTTTTGCCTGCGGCGCTGAAAAATTGGACAAAACTGGGAATTTTTAGTGCTTTGGTGGAGCTCGAAAAATCTTTTGGAAAATTTTTTGAAAATCCTCCCCCCCCCCCCCCCCCCCCTTCCCCCTCGAGAAAATCCTAGATACGCCCCTGGCTATATGTATTGCCTTCTCATGAAACTTTAGCAAAAAAATCAAAATAATTCAACTGGAAACACATTACATTCAATAAATAAAATTAGCCCTTGGCCTCAATTAATTTGAAGAGAGTCGAAAAGCGATCAAGAAGATAAAAGATTTGCAGCTTTAAAAGACTGATCGCATGTTAATAGGCTCTGGAGGATCTGCAGTTTGACTACCAGGAGCAGATCTGTGAGCACCAGGACAAGATAGAACAGCTGCTAGTGGACCACGAACAGATGGTCACGCAGGCGGAGGATGAGATACAACACCTGCAGCACAAACTCGACGAAAAGAGGGAGAAAGGTGGGTGGGTGGGTGTATGTGAGATAAGGATTGGTTGATGACGAAGGAAGGAAGAAGGGGTTTCCTTATTTTTCTGATTTTCATCACCTAATTTTATTATATCATTATCTATATTGATACTTAAAACACCAAATTTACCATGTTATCTTATTTATATTCTTTATATTCAAATTGGTTTTCAGAGTAGTTGCCTTTCTATTTATGATCTCAGATGATAACTTTTGGTTACAGAGAAAGCGAAACTAGATGAAGAAATACAGAAGATTGACAAACAAATGCAGCAAGTGCATGCCAAGAAGAAAACGGCAAAAACTATGTTGGCCAGATCTAATCTGGAGAAGGAGGAAATTGAAGTGATGGGCAAGCTGAAAAATTTGCGCGAGCGCGAAAAGAAACTGAAAGAAAGTCTTAAGTCAACTGAAAACCAAATTCGTGATAAGGAGAAAAAAGTGAACAATAAAAAGAAGAAGTTTGAGGAAAAGTTGCTGAAGATGCAAACTGAGCTGCACTCAATTAAAGCACAGTATCTAGACAGACATATGCGAACATCAATGACAGCCAATTCTCTTCTCAGAGGACCGAGGTCAAATTCAGCTTCTCAGCAAAAGGTCAATAACCTTGACGATGATATCACTGATTTGGAATCTGAAACAATGGAAATTGAAGGGCAAACTGTGCAAATGAGGCAGACTAGAGGTCGAGCTAATGACAGTACGGCACGACACGCAATGTCGGGTCAAGTCGTGCCAAAGAGCACCTTCTCGCAACTTTTGGAGCGTCGGAAACGAGAAAGGGAGTCGGCTAACTTGGCGAATGAAGCTGGTGGTCACAATCACAAACAACATCAACACGAAGCGAAAAGTTGTCAGAGCAAGATGATTAATGTAGCCATAGGCGAAGATGATGAAGGTAACCCGATGTACTTAAAAATATCCCTCCGAGGCTCGCGTGAAAACATCCAAGAGCCAGATGACACTACAAAGCCCCCAAAACAAGCAGAGCATAAAAGTCGCGCGCAGAGCAGATCAATCGCAAAAGAACGCGCCTTGTCTATGGATCTTGCCGACCTTCAAAAACTTACAAATTTCCAGGAAATCGACATCAAAGAACCTGCAAATCAGTACGAATCTGGTGAAAATTTACTGCAAATGCCTTCAGAAAGCGGGCGGAATATCATGCTGCAAAGGTTCATGAACGACCTTGGAAGGGGTTCGGTTTCTGACGTTCGAAGCAACTTCGGTCAAAGCCAAGAAAAACTCTTAACTTCCAATTCTGAAATAAATCTCAAAATTGAGCGTCACTGCGAGGCTGGAGTTCACATTGTTAGCCCAAACTCATCGTGCGAAACTCTCAACCTCGAAAAACCTATCAAGGCCAAAGTTGTTTACCACGAGAGTAAACTTAAAGTGGACAGTCATCTACACATAGTGGAACCCCTTAATATTGCAAGTGGAAAAGATAAGTCGAATCTCAATTCAAGTCGTCGTTTCAGTGACTACGGTTCAGTGTCTAGTATAACCCGCGGAACATCCCCGACAACTTTCACTTCCGGAGATAGTGTCTTGGGAAAGCAAGCACATGACGAGAAAAAAGTGCTGAGACGAGTCATCAATGGGCCCAATCAGGGATTCAGGCCAAATTCGCAAGTCCTGTCAGCTTACCCTGCATTTAATAGTGGACAAGAACGAAAGCCGAGGCCAAAATCGCTCTATTCTGCTCTTGAGTTTGACGACGAAAACCGAGAAAACGAGTGGGATTTTCAGCCTCTCAGCTCGGCTCAGTCGGGCCAAATACGAAGACCGTTTGAAGTCAAACAAGCCGAGGGTCACACCGCGAGAATCGGACCTAAAGTGACTCTAACTGTGACACCTCAAGTAACTGTCACCGCGATTCCAGGACACATACTTGCGGAACGCCCACATCTAGTGCCGCGACCTGGAGGTGACGCACATTCACCCTCCGGAAGCTCCAAGTTTCTCAAATTGCGTCGCGAGATGCAGGATAAGCAGCGGCAAAAACCGGCGGATGTTTCACAATCAAGTATAAGGTCCTACAGCGTGATTTCAAGTCGCGAAGATTTGAAGGAGGCGAATGAAAGTTACTTGCGAAGACGATTGTACTCCAACCAGCCTTTTTTAGCGGAAGGTTAGTCGTCGAGGATACAGTTGAAAGTTTGTATATTGTCAAAATCGCAAAAACATTTGCTTACTTAACGAGAATTAGGACTTATGTTCTGCAGCTACTGAAGTAGCTCAAAAAGGGTGGTAAAAGATTGAGCCTTCTCTTGTTTCATAATTTTCAATTCAATTATATAACACATGTAGAGTTATGTGGATAAAATCATCATTTCTTTTGAATTTTCAGGCGCAATCTCCAACGACTCCCCTGGCGAGCACGAAGTGTTAGTCGACTCGACCGAGATGTGGGCGAACAAGGCGGCACGGCAGCAGCGAAGACTGCAGAGCAACAGCAGTGCCAACAGCCGACAACTCCTTCATCACCCGCGTCAGCACGAGCTCATAGAAAGTAGCACGCCAAATCCACATCCTCATAATATGACGTCATCAACATCACAGATGATGATGGCGTCACCACAAGACGAGGAGGGAGAGAATGACTTGGAGATTGCGCAATTTGGAGACACCCAATATCATGACTACCGCGTCATCAGACGAGAACACGTGGTTGACCAATCTACGCCTGATGAAGAACCGACTCCTAGATTCGTTAAAAGACGACTAAATCCAAACCGAACGAACAAGTACGACAAAAAAAGGATGTCATGGCCGGTGAATAAAGAAGAGATGCTGGTAGCCGAAATGGAAAGACAGCCTCTGTTCATAAACAATTATCAGCAGTCGGAGGAATATGTGTTCCCACCTTCAGAGTTGACCGGGCCAGACTCATTTTACGAGCAAATTGTTATCCAGGAACAATTATTTGATAACGAGTCACAACATCAGGATGCGAAATCTAATCGGTGTGTGGAAAACAATGGACTTGTGGTGAACAACCCGCCAAAGATATTTTATCTTGGCCGAAATGAAACTGAATCGAGAACCGAGCTAACAACAGGAACTGAAACCGAAGCTTATGACGACGATCTGTTTTCAACTCAAGTTTACATAGAAACTAAAAGCTTTGATCCCAATGATGCGAAGGATAAAACAAATGCCCCAAACCGAAACATTGAACCCGAGCATTTTCGGTTTCCCTCCGTTGCGAATCGCTCGGGACTCGATTTGGGTCGTGAGTTTGAAGTGAGTCGGAGCGCAACAAACAGTCGAGGAGGAAGCAATTTGAATCTATCGCGAGCCACGAGCGACGTTTTTTCAAATCCCAGCGGCCGAAATTTGATTTCTGAGTCGGGTACTTATCGTCACATTGAAGAAGTTTTCACGACAGAGAGTATCATAACCAAAGGTCAGGAAAAGAAAACAAAAGCTGGGAAAATACTTGGAAAATGGAAACTGATCAAGAAGAGGGAAAAAATTGCTTCAGATAACAGTGAGCATTACTTATCGACACTAGAAGCGTCTGTAACTCCGGGAAGTGGGAAAAAAATAAAGTTTGATAAATCTCTCTCCGCTTCTCAAAACTCTATCGGAAGTGTGAAAAAGTTGCGTAATCAGGCATCTTCGCCAGTTGAATTCGACGACGGAAAATCTAAAAGACGGAAGAAAGTTAGCTACATTTCCATTTCCCATAACAAAGAGCCTTCGTTCACGCGACTCGATGGAAGCAACGTTGAACAAAGTCCGAAAACCCCGTCTTCAACAATATCAACACAAACGCCCTGTACAGCTTCGACTCAAACCCAAAAAGATGAGAACTCGGTTAAAACGACAGAACAACATCTGATAACTCAAAGACACATTACCAGAATTTCCAGTACTTCCAGACATCGAAAAAGTGTGAAAAATTCAAGTTCTGACTCCAGTCATAGCGAAAGAAACACAAGTTCAAACTCGGAAGGATTGTCAGATGGTCGTAAAAAATTTAAAAGGGGAAAGTATAGAAAATACAGTCGCGAAAATCGAACTACGAAACGAGACAGGTACGGTCGAAAAAGTAAAGGTTCAAAACGGAAAGAGCGTGCGTCTAAAACGACTTCAACTTCTGGCAGTTCCAGTGATACCAAAAATGCGGGCAAAAGTCCGTCAAAAAAGTTGAAAGATGCCATGACGAACACTGTAAATGAGATCGGCATTCAGACGGACGAAGTTAAGCAATCGGTTGCCACGGTAACTGATTTGAGGGAGGGCAGGAGTGAAGAAATCGATCTCCCTGGAGACAGAAGCAATGATTTCAACATGCAAGATTACCTAAATGAGGTCGCATTGAGCAGCGAAAGTGTACAAACTTTAACGTTTAAGTCCACTCCAGCTAGATTTGAGGCTGAAATTAAATCCAAGGACCCACAAATGCGAAACAGAACCGTGAGTTTAGAAAATTTACCGACGACGCGGAGTGACGACCAGAAGCACACGAGGCCAGCAAGTCGGAAAAAAATCTCAAAGCGACTTTTCGAAGACAAGATTAAAATTTATGAGTTCATGATGTCTCTAGATTCTGTGAAAGTGGAAGAGTATCTGCAAATGCTGCGGGTTGCAGGTACTTCAGGTGATGTTTTGCAAGCGCTATTGCATGCATTGCAACAGAAAAACCCAGAGTCTATACCTAACGAAGTCATGAGATATTTCGATACAGATTCGTGTGCAAACCAAACAAGTTCGGGTTTGAAAAGCGGTAAGAAATGGTTTGAAAAGCGAGCAAATGAAAACCCATTGACAAGTTTGAGCTCTTTTGCAACTTTTGGAACTTATCTGTCAATAGCTGAAGACGTTTTGAACAAACATCTCAGTGTTTCGGAAGCCGAAAAGGAACAGGTTTTAGAGGCGTTGCGCAAACAGGATTCGAGTATCCTACCAAAATCTCTAGACCCAATAATTCTTAAAGAAATTGAAAATGCAGCATCTGCACTTGTGCAAGACGAGCAAATAATTGATAGTGACGACACTACATCTATACTCGAAAGCGAAAACATGTCTGCAAGCGACTTGCGGAGGCCAGGAACCGCAAATAACTCGACACCAAGTAACTTACTCTCCCATGGTGGCAGCGAACAGAATCCGAGTCGCGAATCCAGTTCCCTATCGCGGTCATACGACCCAAATCGCTCTCGCGAATCTGCAGATTATAACCCATCGGGACACGATTTGAAAATGAGTCGAATTGAACGACTTAAACAGAGGTCGATAACTGCGAGTGCCTTGGATGCGTTTACTTCTCATTCACCTGGTCATTCGCCAATCACTCCTCGTTTCGTTGAAGATAATATACAAGAATCACTCTTGAACAAAAACAACCAACTGGAGCAGACTCCGAGCCATTTCCGAGAAACACCTGAACCAAGTGATTCGCGTCGAACGTCCAACGCGTCTGAAGGCTTTGCTGAGATTGTCGGAAAAAATCTAAATGGAACCTCGTCCGCAAACCGTGGAGCAGTGACGAGCACTCCGATTGACCGAGAACTTTATCGATCTGCAAGCGACGACAGGCTTCACGAAACATCACCACCAACAGTTGTACCTTTGTCAAACCTTGACGCTTCAAAACTGCCAGAAGATGTTCAGAATAAGTTAGCCGCGCAAATTGTAGTAACTGCTGATGCTGAAGATCGTGACGCACTTCTGAGAAAGGCCGAGGCTCAAGAAAGTACTATCACTATGATATCGGCACTGGCTGAAAACGGAGACCCAATAGAAATTCGGGACTCTGTGGCGACTTTACTTAGCGAACCAGTGACAAAAGCCATCTTAGTCGCATCAGATCCGAGTAGGTGTCAAGAAGCTTTGACTAAAATTCCTATCGCGATTATTGCGAATGAGGATACTTCGTGTGAAAATTTCTCGGAAGAAATCCGAAGTGATGAGTCGCTGGCGAAACAAATTAAATCTGGAACAAATTGCTCGGCTGTGATTTTTGTGGCCGCCAACGCGTTAATGAATCTAAATAAAGCGGAGAGAAACTTTTGGCTTGAAAAACTAGGTTTGTACGATGTGATTAAAAATGAAATAAAAGACGCCATAGCTAGAGGCGACATCGATACACTAAGAAAGCTTTTGCCGGAAGACTGTGCTAAGTTTCTGCTTGAAAACCTTCCGGGAACTAAAGTGAAAAACAGCATTTCAGATGAAATAAAGAGCGAAACTGAGAATCCTTTGCAACAACATATGGTTAAGTTTGTCGCTCAAACACTGGTTGAAGAACCGTTGGAACTTACAACTGAAATGCTTTCGACAATTCTTGAAATGGATGAACTCACTGAGTCTGCGATGCTCGAAGCGATTAATGAAAAGGACGAAGACCGACTACAATCACTCCTGACCAATGAAATAATCGATGCAATTGTCGGTGAAATTAGTTCAGAAGCTCTGGTTGAATCCCTCGCTAATGAAGAAAAACTTAATTCTAGAAAAAAAGGCGAACCGAAAAGTCCAAAAAACGCAGGCGAATTTCATTCATCTCCGAACATGAGCAAAAAGAAAAAGGAACAAAATAAAAGACTTTTGAGCGGAACGGAACCTTCAGAGCCGTGCTTTACAGATCCGTTGTCAGAAAGCACCGAAGAAATGTCAAAGAGAGGTGGTCCAGAAAAAAGTCAATCTATGATGACACCTCAAAGAATAATTGCCTCGCTACTCTTAGACTGGGAGGGCGAACAAATTTTAGAATTTGTTTCGGGAATGGACCCCGAAAAACAAAACCAAGTTTTGGACGCAATTACTGGCGGTGACGTTCAAGCGTTGTCTCGCCTCATCGAAAAAGACCAAGCCGATAAAATTTTGAAAGATTTCAACCTTGACATAATACCAGTTATTGAAAAAGCCCAAGAAAGATTTAAAGATCCTGAAAAACTTCTGGAACACGAAAGTGTCCAAGAAACGCAAAATGTTCTTAATACTTTAGTCGAAACATTCAAGAATGACAAAGAAAACTTGAAAGACATATTAGCCCGACTTGACGTTGGGTTAGCTACAAAAATGTTCGATGCACTGAATAGTGGCGATCTAATTGCAGCCAAAGCGTTACTGATTTCTGCTGCGAAAGCAAATGCAAAATCTAACTTAAGTAAGCATCAAGCACTTTCCGATTCGGCCATTGCATTGAGCTGCCGACCGCGTAGACTTTCGGATACTCTTTTTTCGAAGAGCGAGAGCGAATTAACCATGAAACCAAAAGTCGCAAATTCAGTCAGCAAAGAAGTTCTGGGCGACTTTTACGAGGAAGCTCAAAAGTTAGGTTCTCAATCCAGAATTGTGTATCTCAACGTGGAAGAAACAGTAAACAAGCCAACAGAATCAGGTCCAATGCAAAACGAGGAAACTAGTTCGGAGCCAGTAGATTTAGACATACCGGATGAATTGGCCGGTATTCTTGAAAAATATGTTCACCCCGATGACGTATTTGGACTTTATGATGCCTATTTACACAATCCTGCCTTGATAGCCGAAAACCTCCCAGCCGAAGATGTTGAAAAATTATACGAAGACATCAGTGCATATGACGATAGAAGAGAGCAAAAGTTGGCCGATTTGCTCAATGTAGCTGCAGACACTTTGAAATCTCTTTTCCCACAAGAAATGGACGACTTAGTGGAAAAAATGCAGCAATCGATGCCTGAACCTGACGACGTGACTACTTTTTGCGATCACGTCAAAAACGGAGAATTTGAAGAAGCTGCAAAGTACTTGCCGAAAGATATCTTAGAAGAAATGATGGATCATAATCAGAGTTTGCTTGCTGAACAAACAACAAGCGATACGTCCCGTAGAACAGTTCCGGTGATAGAAGAAGAAAGTGAAGAATGTTCCGACGAGGGGGAAGCAGCAAACCCGTTGGGTATTCTGAAAAAAGACGAACCGACAAGCGTCTTGATAAAAAATCCTCATCAAGTGAAGTTTGCATCCGAAGTTTTGGAGTTCAATTTGACAAATCAAACGTTTGAATCTACCAATTCCTCTAAAGATAGCTTGATTGTAGGAGAACCAACTCCTAATTATGACAGAGAAATTGCTCATGGAGACGCTGAGACTGGCTTGCATGGACCTTCGGCAGGGCCGAAAGATGATAAAGAGTTTGAGGAGATTGCTGAGAGAATAGCCGAGTTGGAGGCAAGAATGACACATATCGGTGACAAAGATCCTACACAAATTGAGAGCGCTAGTCCACGAATTCCATCAAATGCTGGTCAAATGTCACCCGAAAACACCAAAGATGATAACACAACGCGAAATAATTCGAAACCGAGAAAAGTAAGTGGCTATCAATGAGCTATTATTGCATAAGGAATGCAAAAATTTTGATTCAATTTTGATAAAAGGTGCGACATGTTTATTCTAATAACCTTTTTAAAAAATTCAAAAAGATCAATGAATAGTTTTTATACAGTGCTGATTTATATTATCCGGACTTGAAACTTAAGACTTGAAATTTAAAACGCATTTTTTTGAAATTGATTTGACTTAAGACTTAACCTGCTCAGAAAAATAGCAAAATTATTATGAAGCAATTTGTTTGCAAAATTTGGGCCCAAAATTTTACCCCAAAAATGGATCAATTTTTATTATTATCAATATTACGCAAAAACTACCAGTTCAATAGCTAAAATTTTTTTTATCAATGTGAGCCTCTTATGTAGCCAACCAAAATTTAAAAGTGTTATAAACTAAAAAAAAATTGCCAAAAAATTATTACAAAGCCAAACTGTGAACTGGATTTTGTGCCTGAATGTTTCTGGCTTCCAAAGAAAAGTTTTTGAATGTGCTAAAAATTTGTCTGAACGAGCAAAGAAAATGAAAAAACAAACAAAGGACAAAGGAAGCGTCTTTGTTGCGGAATCCGCTTACAGTTCACAGAATGCACAGTTTAGTCTCGTTAAATGGGTGTTTTATTTAGTGAAAATGACACTGTTTGTCTATCAAACAGAAATAAATTAAATTAACAAGGCTTTGGAGATAATACCCTTCTTAAATTTTGTTTTGCTAAAAAAGAGAGTCACCTCGACTTAATTCCCGCAGTAATTAATTTGGTAGTTTTGTTAATTATTGATTATCTAGAAAAAAAGTAATCCGCTTTTGTTGTAAAATTATGGGCACAAGTTTCGCAAAACAAATCTCACATCATATTTATACTGCTAAACTTCTAGGCAAGTTTTGTCTTTTCATTTTTTGTCTAAAACTAACCCAATTTGAGAAAAACCCGTTTTAAAATCTCATTTTTATGCGTTTTTTCCCGATAATTTAGACCAGCACTGTATAATAATTGTTGCAGCCAAGAAGTGACAATACGTTACCAGACAAAAAAAGGTTACCAGGCCAAACTTTATTTACTTCGTGCTTAATATAGCGTGCGCGTGTATTAAAAAAGAAAAAGTAACATAGAGGCGAAAATACTTGCAATACAACGCAAACATCTCATCGTAAAGAAGCCGATAAAAATGAGATGGAAACCACCACGTCCGAATTTTGAATTAAAAAATGAAAACTTCATTCAATTTAAGAAAAATAGTCAAGAAAAGCGACCAATAGCGTTTCAAAATTTTCATTTACCGAGCGGCTGCTAATTCGGCAAAATTGGGTAGACACCCGTTGAGACGAAAACAAAGAAAGGCCATAGAAAATTTATGTCACAAAAAATATGGGAAAAAGCTGAATGGGAAAAAGTCTAGTACCCGACTAGTACCCTCTCGCAAGTGAAAAAAAAATATTTTTTGTTTTTTGATCATTCTAAAGAGTTTTCAATCAAAAAAATGGATCGACGTTAGAGGGCAGTCGGAACAATCAAGGTTTCGCCCTGATACGCCCAGTTTTTTTATAATTTGAAAATCTTGTGCTATCTTGCTTCAACTATATTTTTATTGGAGTACTATGACGTCTTTAGTCGAGGCAATTGGGTGACATAGAAGACGGCGACATCATCCCTCAGTCACTAGATACGAGATCTGTGCAAGAGATACCACTCGACCAGTTTGAAGGAGACTCGGAAACTGATCCGAATATTCTTGACGATAATGAGGAAAACAAACAAAAGGACGAGAGAGACAGAGAGAGGTCCAATGTGCTGCGAGACATTGACCAATGGCAAACAGGGCAAGAAAGCAAAATGACACCAGCTTCTATGAACGTAAGTTGTGGATAAACATTTCAAACAACACCTGTCAAGCTCTTGGAAAACTCTTTTCAGCCAGAAATAATCACTGCAGTGTTGAACACAACAGCACGCTTTATCAGCAAAACGACCATTAGTTAGTTAGTGACAGCGATTATCGTTCCGACTTTCGTAACGAAAATAACGGAATAATTGTGCTCGGGGTGGGTTTTTTTTTCTTTAGACAAATTTCGACTTTTTAACTAGCCATTTTTGACGGGATTTTTTATATCATTATCACTAAGGTATTGTTGTCCTGAGCTTAAATTTGAAAAGATAATTTACCTGTGATCATTTTTCGTAAAGTTATGGGGGTTTAAAGATTGCCATTTGGGACAATTAACGGGCGATATATTTCGCGCTATTAACGCGTAAGCGGAGATTTAATCCCTCTTATAAATCGTTCCAAATTGTTTGAAGGAAGTTTATTTGCCATAATTGATTTGTTACTAGGAGCGAGATCGATCATTTTGTGCTTTTTATGGCGTGTGGGGTGATGAATTTCACAAAAAATCTCAAATTAAAAAAAAATTGATTTTTATTTATCACATTAAATTTTTTCATGTTATTACGGCTCCATAGACCTTAGAGGCAGTCGGAACAATCAGGGCTTCGCCCTGATACGAGCAGTCTTGCTCCCATTGCTTTGCCAATAACTAGAGCATGTATGATGTTATGTGAAAACTCAAAATAGTGCAATTTTGACTATTTATATGTCCATTTTAGTTCAAGTCTATTTCATTCACGCTTTTCTTTTTCCTGATCAGGAATGAACAATAAAAAATTGGAGCATCATTAATTTGAAAAAGAACACCATTAAAAGAATATTAAAAGACGCGTCAAAAAGTTATGTACTCGCCACTGCTATCTAAGGCTTATAAAAGACCACTTGCGGTTGAATAAGCTGAACTTGACCATCGATGATCTGTTTAACAACATCGAAGTTTAATTGCACTTAAAGTTTTGAGCAAATTTATGATACGGTATAGGTATTGAATAACACAGAGCAGCGCAGAACATTAAAATATCACTTTATTATTTCAGATCAGAAAGAACGAGCTGCCTCGGCTGGAGACTGCGAACGAGAATAAACCTTCACCTTCCTTGACCTCACCTCGTTCACCGACAACGTCAAAAATACCGAAACTTAAAAACCCACCGACGAGTGGAGAGGGATCGCCGAGACAGTTGAGTAGTGAGAGAAAGTATTCACCGAGAAATGAAAGTGGAAAATTAAATCCTAAGACAAGCACAAGTCCCGATGCCAACAAATCTTCAAAGCCGCATACTGGGAACGAAGACCCGCCAATAACTAATATAAAAACCAGTACCTCAAAAACACCAAAAAGCAGTTCACAAGATGAACCTTCAAAACCGAATAGTAAAATCTCAGACGAACCGTCAAAAGTCCCACTTTTCGTGAAAAACTCAAAGCCTCTTCAAAGAATAGATTCAAAAATAAACGAAGATTTGATTCCCTCGGAGTCAAAAGGGCAAACTGAAGCCGAAAATGACTTGAACTTTGACGAGTTCCGAGAAGATAAAGATTCGAATAGGAATACACCGGAAAACAAAGACAGGCATTCATCGCCAAACAGCTCAATTGATCTATCGCTTGAAGTGCAAAGTGTTTCCGAGAAAAAAGAGTGCCACGATAATCAGGAAAGCCAAAAAGGAGTTGAACGGCCGGAAAAAACTAATGAAACTTGCCGACCGTTGAGCTCTGATTCAAGTCAAAATAATACTCCGAGGAAAGAAAAAGATCCAAGATGGGATCCAAAAAATAGACCAGGGCGGGATTCCAAACCGAAATCTCTAACTTCGTCTTCTATAAATACTCCAGTGAACGAACAAACTTTTGATTTGGAACAAAGAAAAAATCCAGACTCGAAACTAGTTATCGATCCTGACAAAAAGTATCAAGATTTTTTGGATAAAATTTTGAATCCAGATAATCAAAAAGAACAAGAATTATCATCCAAAGCCGATTTCCAAAACCCAATAGATGCCGAAAAAGAATCAAAAAATTTGGATACATTTAAATCCAAAAAGCCCAACTTTGTGAATGCTGAAAAGTTCGACGATAACATCAGTGATTTGTGGCCTGAAGGAAAACCACGAAAAGATGATGGCTATATAATTGTTAAGGATGCGCCTGCCAGACAGACAGTTGCAGGAAAAACTGCATCGCTGAAAAACACTCAAAAGGCAACAAGAATTGGAAATCAACTACAAGCTGCAAAAATTGAAAACAACGAGACGTCAAAATGCGAACTGGTACACACTTTAATTGCAAATCCGAATAACACAAATGAGCTGATTGAGAATCCGGATCTGAAAATACCCATCGAGGAAGAGGACTTAATTCCAATGACGAGGTCAACTAATCAAGAAAAAGAACCAGGCCTAGGATTCATGGACTCAGATGATGTTCATGCGAAGCCCGGAGACGACAAGTTACCGATCGGAGATATTCAGAAACCACGACTGTCAGGGTTTTCCGAAACACCGACGTTTGAGAATTTTCTTCGAACTAGCTCGAGTTCGCCTCCGAGTACCGATCCACTACCCTTCGTCGATGAGATAAGAAGCCCGTTTGGGAATGACGTCACAAAGAGAAAGACAAAAGATGATGATCGATCTCCAAATTGGCCAACATTTTCTAATACACGTAAGATTTCTTTCTTTGCTGTGATGATAATTCGTCAAAAAAAGGGTTTTAAAGCGGGTTTTAAATTCTTTTTTAAATTATTTAAACAGTTTTTTGTTTTCACATAATCAGTGCAAAAATTATGTTATATTGCGTATGTCAACAGATGTTAGTCCGCAAATATGAAGTGTTTCAAAAAACTTTCCTCTAAATTTGGAGTAATTTTATTCCGGTGACCCGTAGACTACCAAGAAGTTGACCAAGAAAGTCTGAAAACATTCATTAGAAAGTTCATCTCAAATTTAATGAGCAAAAAGTGACATGCGAAATAAATTTCATCGTAATTTTTTCAGATATTGGTTTTCCACAATTTATTCCATTTTTGTCTGAAAATTATTAGTTTCCAAAACATTTCGTCCACCTCTCCAGCAAAATTATTTTCAACAAACAAGCTTGGCAACTTATTTTCTACAAAAAAAAACAACAGTAAGGATGAATGATCATCTCTCAGGGTAAAACAACACGCAATTTATTTCACTCAGTTTTTCAGTAGATTTACACAATTATACAGGGTGATTCCGATAAAAGCATTTAGTCAATTCTTTGAATAAAAATTGATACGGGGTTTTGTTATTAATTTAAAAAAAAGATTTTTCTTTTGAAAAGATTGTGTCATTTCCGAAAATTAAACTCGCAGTAAATATTGTTAACCTGTTTTTTTTAAGGTTTTCAAACTATCGGCCGTAAACTGAGTTTCTGCAATAGTTTACTCGATTGTCAACATTACTTGTTTCACAGAGGAGCAGAACAAAACGCTCATCAATTTACTTGGGAATTTTAATTAACCGCCAAGGTCAGAAGACGTTCCGTTCCAATCATTTAAAAAAAAAGATTTTTTTTGTTAACTGTCTTCAAATTATTATAGTTTTTAACGGGTGGTGTAATTCGAAAACATTAGTGAGTTAGGAAAACATTACTGAGTTAGGCATTAGTGAGTTAGACATTAGTGAGTTAGGATTCGAAAACATTAGTGAGTTAGGCATGATCGACAACAGTTGTCTTCAAAAAATGAAAAAAACAAGTGAGAAAAAGCGGAGATTCGCACCACTTGCGATACAACATAATCATACAAAGCCAAAAAAAATTTTTTTGAAAAACTAGGTTAACCAAAACTTTCTTAGGTCTTGCTGGCTAAGGACACCTAAGGCTCAGAAATCTGGCAGTACGTATTTGATATTTTTTGAATTTGTTATGCAAAAAATATAGATTTGCAGGTTAGTTCTAGAGAAAAACCAAAAATTTCAAAAAACGGTCAAAACAATTTGAATTTTCCAAAACCATAAGTTTTTGTGTCAAAATTTTTTTTTGGATGTAACATTGTACGCAAAGAAGCTTCCCATAACCCGCTCTTTGGGTTGAAATCAAAATCTCAGATATGATTGGGTGTTTTTTATTAAATTTTTAAAATTCAGAAAAAAATTTTTTAAATCAAAATTTGACATTTCCAAGAACAATTTTTTTTTGTGAAAAACTGTGAGTGACTGCTAATGTAGGAGAACTTCCCACTACCCGTTGTTTCCATTGAACTCACAAGCTCAGGTTTTGGAGGTTATTTTTTGAAAAAAAAATTAAAAGATTCAAAAAACGGTCAAAAAAACTTGATCATAATTACTTATTGAGGAGAGTTTCAAAAACCGATTTGTTTGTTGAAACCAAAATTTGAGATTTGATAGCTTACATTTTGAGAAAACTAAAAAATATATACTAAACCCACCGACTTTTTCGAATGCTGTAGACAAAAGGAAATACAGAAAAAAGACCAAGAGTGTATGAAGGCACACAAGAATGTAGGCGGTCTTTTTTTGGTTAACCCTTTTTATAAAATTGGCGGAAGAGTTTTTTGAGAACTAGAAAGAAATTTTTGCAAAAAGAAATAAAAATTTTCCCAAAGTGTCACTTTCAAAATACATGTTTTTATCAAACAGGAATTCTAGGCAAACACGGCAAGCAAATCATTTGAAATACAAATTGAGCAAAACTTACGAAGCCGAAAATCTTTGAACAGACACCATTGAGTCGAAAAAACGTATCAAAACTTTCCAAGTCCTCCCTGAAACTACCCTGTAGTAACTAGTACCCAGCCACTAGTTAAATTTGAAATTTCATGAAATTGAGCATGTCAGCTGATGAGCATGTCAGGTGAAGAGAATGCCAAGTGATTCAGCTGATTTTGTTAAAATAGTTGATAAACCGAAAAAAAAATCTACATTCCGATTTATTAACGCTTGCTAATCGCAAGCGTAAAAAACTTCAATAAAAAACAGTTTTTTTTTCAAATATTTTGCTTATTAACAATCTATAAATAAAATATCAAAACTTAGTTTTCTTTACAGTAAAATCAAGTTTTTGATCCTAAAAGTCTGAGAATACAGTAAATTTTCTACTAGCTCGAAAGCAGACGAAAAAAATTTAAAACTGGTTTTTCTCAACATTGGGAAATTTTTTGGAATTCATTAAATGTCATTCGAAGTACGATTGAAAGGGTTCAAATATGATAAATCAAATAGCACTCAACTCACTCCGATGATTTTCTGTGGTACCTGATTTTGCGTGGAAAAAAGAAGAAAAACAAGGATAGCCGGTTACTGTGCAAGTATCACAGAATGTTCAGACCATAGTCTGAAAAAAATAAGACATATTTTTTTTTCATTTATTGCCGTTTTATCTGCTTGGTTTGATAACAAAAAAGATCTGAATAAAAAACTAGAACGCAGCCATATTTGATAATCATAACAAACAGGCAAACTGAAAAAAAGTTTTTGTAGAAAAATTACTGGAAACACGAAAAAAATTATAATTTTTTTATCCTTTTATTTTCAGAAATTTTTTTTTTCAAGTATTGTTTTCAAAATTTTTCATCTTTTTGATACCTAATATGGCGCTAAAATTTCACTTAACTCCAATACAACTTAACTTTCAAGGCTTAACCTAAGCATAAATGAGCTGATGTACGCTAACACAATCGCTCGAAATTAGACGAAACATAAAAAATTTCACACCTGTTTTTCTTGACACTAAAAAAATTTATCGGGAATTTTATGGTATGGTTCGAATTACGACTGAAAAGGCTTTAATTTGATACATCATTCATTCCAGTCGGATGATTATGTGTGGTACTTGATTTTGCGTGGAAAACAAAAAGAAAAAAATATATATAAAACACAACCGAAAACAAAGTTCCTCCCCATTTCAATGGTCGGGACAACAAAAGTTTTCTGTTCTTGTATTCCTTCAAAAACTCAAATATTTTTAGGAAAAATTATTTCAGGTGACAAAAGTGGTGAATTCTCGGTGCCGTGCCAACTCACGAAACTCACTATGTTTGGCCTTAATAATTTCGAAAACACAAGTGTCATTGTTGAGGAAAACGGAGGCAATGTTGAATCGGACTGTTAAAAACAAAGTCTTTGGTCCTGTTTGGATTTTGAATAAAATTAACCGGCTATTTTTTGTCAATCGGCGTCAATACCTGAAATCTTTGACAGGAAAACCTGAAGAATTGCGGTTTCGTTTGAAAAGTCGCCGTAATCTTTGTCACTTGCAATAAAAATGAGCATTGTGTCATTCTGCTGACACTGTTTTGATTTGCTCGCCGACGGTCAAAACTTCATGAACGCATTGTGAGCAGGATAAATTCATTGACTCGGCCTATGCAAGGTCTCGGTTGGGTACTGCCCAATTGTTTTTGGGATTTAGCACTGTCCGAGGTTCCCATAGGCAACCCCAAAATCCTGTAGGAAGTCAAAGACTCCGCAAAGCCTTTCGTTAATTCTGTTGAAATGGTTAATGACGAAAAAATTGTTTACTGATTATTGTTTAGGGCAACTATGAGTTTACGGCGGCCATTTTTAGCAATGTTTTTGGTGTAAAGGCAAAAGTTTCTAAAAAACCGATGTATATTTTAGTATTGAGCTGATTTATTCTATTTTAATAAAGATTTCGTCAATGAATATTTCGTCAATGAATTGTTATTTTTTGAACAAACTTTGAATCTTAATTGCCCAGTTTATCCAGTGAAAAAACTTGAGTAAATTTGAGCTTGTCTGAATTAATAGCTCCAGGGGCGGATTTAGGGGGAAGGGGGGGGGCCCCTCCCTCCTCAGGGATTCGCCAATATATACTAACTTTGAGGAGGAGCGCGCGCCAAAAAAAACGCGATTTTTTTCGTCAGAGTTTTCCAAAAAATGCCCGAAAACGGATTTTTGACCTGTTTTTTCAAAATCTTGCCTGCGGCGCAAAATTTTGGCCAAAACAGCGTCTTTTTCGTGCTTTAGGAGAGCTCAGAAAATCAATTTGGTCGATCTAAAAAAAAGGTCAAAACTTTCAAAACTTTTTTGAAAATCCGCCTCCCCTCCAGAAAATCCTAGATCCGCCCCTGACTAGCTCCATGATGATAGCTAACATGAAAACATAGCGCAAATGAAGTATGACAAAGTTCGTTCCAACTCTCTCTTCATTTTTTCACTGGTACCATTTGAGAATTTCGGTCGCATTGGTCAATTTTGACTCTATGTACTTTTTTTCCACCGCCATGTTGATGACGACTCCTCTTTGAACCCTGGCCACAAAGCGGGCACACTGTCTCTCCGTAACAAACACAGGGCCCAGTACATCGTCACTCAAGTCGGGGTACATCGTGATCAGTTTAGATTTGGGGTCCGACAGCATCACCAACTTGCCCTGGGCCTGAAAGTATGGTTCTTTTAGGTTGCTCGGTTTCAAATTAGTTGGCTGCTGCAATGTAAACACTGATTTTTTGTTGTCTGAAAGCTTGATCTGCAGTTTTTGTGCAGTAGTAGCCGAAGTAAGTCATACAATAAAGCAAAGTATTAGCCGCCATCATAATCAAGGGCGGATCCTGGATTTTTTCCCCAAGTTTTTTGGCGCTACCTTACCCCTCCAATTTAGTGTACTTTGCCAGAAAAGTTAAGGGCTGGTCCACTGTCGACTTAATAAAACGATGTCGTGAAATTTTAGCCAAGGTTCTCCCCTAAATCCGCTCTTAAATCGCCGCTAAAATCGTAATTGATTGTCAGTTAAACTCTGTTTAAATTAGATGCTTTATTTCTCTCCCTCTCAATTGATTTTGAACTACTCAATTGTAAAGATGAAACAATACATAACTTGAGTGACTTCTGCCACGCAGTCATCACAAATCCGTCGTTGACAGACAGCACTCCAATCAACTGCACCCCTTTGGCCCTGAACTCATCAAAGTGTTCCACAAAAGTGGGCACGTGATCTTTGTGACACACGGGCGAAAACGCACCCGGCACCCCAAGCAAAAGGGCCTCATCTTTGTCTTCGAACAGTTTTCTACAAACAATTTTGGCCTAAATGAACTCGATGCCAGAGTATTTACAAAGTTATCCGAAAACTTCAATCGAAAAACTCATAGTACTTGTTTGAATTTTATAAGCTTCTAATTGTTGATATTTCCCTAGCAAGCCTGAGACTGATGGCAAAGCAAAATCGTATTTCAAACTTTTTTCTGTACGTTCTCTACGTTTTTACGTTACCTCTAGTCTTTTAGAACCACTTTAAGTTACAAAAATTACTTAAAATATCTTTTTGAAAAAAAAATTACAGCTAAGATAGTGTGCGAAGACTCTCACTTGACCTCTAGCTTCAGGTCTACCAAAGGCGCCTGACCGATTTCGGCAGCATTAGTAGTACCACGTGAAAAAACGCAAAATAGGGTCGCAAAAACAAAAACAAAATTAACTCAGTTTGGATTGTAAACTCTTCTTATCATCTTCGCTGAACTGAAGACTACAAATTAAAATTTAGCGCGAACTTTTTAGTTTTCAACAAATCTATTGTACAAAGTCTCAAACTTATGAATTAATTCTGACATGAGACAGTGAAGTGGCGTAAAAATTGTAACCAAATTTTCAGCGTTGCATTTGAACTAATCTATTTTTGATGAACTGCAAAGGTCATATCTTCAAATATTTTCCCTTCAACCATAATTTGCCATGCAATTGTTCAGACAAAAAAAAAACAGAAAAACCGACAATAAGGCAAACGCAGAACTTCAGAGAACAATTTCGAAAAAACGCTTTTAGCTTAAAGGGCAGAATTAAAAATAAAGCCAAATTGTTTGTTGGCAATATCTTTTCGAATAACGAATCTGAACCATGTCAGCTAGCATAAAACTGCCCATTTTGACGTCGAACTTCATCTTATTACTGATTTTCACACGTAAAAACGGTTTCCAAAAAACTAATTAACCTACAATGCTATAGTTTTTGACCGATTAAACTGCTCAAGGTCACCGATATTGCCATTAATTTGGCATTAACTATAATTAGTAGCAAAGACTTTTGACAGACAAAACAATGACAGTCAAATCACTTTTCAGACACTTTTAGCATGTAAAATCAATTTTTTCTGACAATAAGTATGTCTCAAAGTCACCTGAGAATTCAAATTCGCATGCAAAAATTACTCAAAAATGTAAGATTGCTCGTTTTAATTATTTCTGTCTGTTCGAATTTTTTTTCATTCCTCTACATTTTTGGTTAACAGCTAAAATGACGCCGCTGTTTCTGGTTAAAGACAATGATTTCACGGTTTCTCAGCAAAGTTTTGTTTGTTTTGGCCTCTTTCTTTTCGAGTTTTCCACTAATTTAAACTTTTTTTGAATTATTGCATTGCGGTCTGGTAAAAGGTCGGTCTGGTAAACGCTCGGTCTAATAAAAGACCTAGCCTCAATTTTTTAGACGACGTTCATTGATGAGCACCCAGACAACAAAAATCATTTCGAATTTTGAATAAAAGCAATGCGAGGAAATCATAGTATACACTTACACTTAATAACTACACCCCTCCCCACCCCCACATTGCTAATGGTGGGAAATTTGTCAATTCTAAAAAAGTTATTAACAGTTGAGTTGGTGGTTTTTAGAGGCTGAAACTTTTTTACCACAAGGGCATGGGAATTTCAATTAGATTGCGAATTTCCTAACCTGAGTTTAACTGAATTGTCGAAACTGTTCATGAACAAAAGAATGTCGGGCAATTCATCTCCTATACAGAGTGAACCCACCATTTTGTAGTATAAGCGCTGTAGTAAAAAAAATGTCAGTTCTTCTTCCAATCTTTTTTGTTCGAAAATGAGTTTTTCTAAATGACTTGACTTCAAAGAAAACAATTCAATTTGATAATTGAAAACAACATAATAAAATTAAAATAAAAAACTGATCAACTTAAAAGCAACTGACAGTATACGCATTTCTTTTTGTCACGTCAATTTTCTGTGAGCTATATTTGCGTTCCCTAAACTGATACTATTTAATCTTAGCTATACGATCTTAGCTAGTCTTATCTCATTATCAAATTGAATTCCTGGCGTCTTTAAGTTTGAAACACAGCCTCAATTTAATTTTCCATTGTCATTAAAATCAAAGACAGTTTTGTTTGATTAACTGAAAGTGTTCATTTTCTAATGGCTTTTCCTGACATGAAAAATGACCAAACGACGACGCCTGAAATCTCGTCAAGTGACGGGGAAAAATTGAACTACTCCAGCAAACCCTATTGAGGAATTTGAAATTTTGCAGGAAACAGAAAGAAAGTGCATATGGTTCTTTTCTGCTTCATCGTCTGGAAAAATTTAAGTGTCCTTTTTTATTGATAGTTACTATGAGATAAGTCCGATTTATTCACTCTTATCTAAGGATGCAAATAGGCTATTTATTAAAATCAGTAGGTGAAATTTGTGGTATGAACTAGACTAGTTAATCTACTGCGCGCGTTCAACCGGCGTGAAGAAATTCTGAAATTGTACGCCTGCAAAAGAGCTGTAGAGGTAGTTGGAAAACATGTTTTAAATAGAGAAAACAACTGTTTTTGCATGTATAAAAATAAACAGGAACACACAACATTTTAGATGACTAAAGCATTCTCGAAAACTGTTTTTTTTTCACGCAAAGGGGAAATTCATTCACTATCCTCGAGCCTGGCGGCCCTCTGATAGTGAATTCATTCACTAGTTGCGAAAGTTAAATGCTGATTTAAATTATCCGGACAAAACAAACAAAACTTAAATTTTCAAACGGGTTTTTCTCAATTTAGGTTAAGATAAGACAAAAATTGAAGAGAACGAAAGTTCAACCAAAATTTAACCCAAAAATGGGTCATTTTGGATTTTTTCAATTAATCAAAAATTACGCTGAAACTAGTTTGTTAATTGATGAGGAATGTATATCACGAGAAGCTTTTTACACAGCCCAACAAAGTGCTAGGAGGGTTAAATATCCAAAAGCATGTATAAGAGAAATTATTTTTGCTTGATAGTCAAGAAATGTGATTTTTACTATATAAAGCCCAAAATCTTTGCTTAAATACAAATTTGTAACAATTTATTCAGATTTTGGAGATTTAACTTTTCTGGAACTTTGTTGGGCTGTGTAAGAGGCTTCTTGTGATATATATTTCTCATCATTTAACAAAATAGCTTCAGCGTAATTTTTGATTAATTTTTGAAAATGACCCATTTTTGGGGTAAAAATTTGGTCGAGAATATCGGAGAAAAATTGCACCATATAAATTCTGATGAAACTCTAAGCTACTTTTGTGCTCTTCACTTTTTGTCTAAGCTTAGCCCAAATTGAGAAAAACGTGTTTGAAAATTCAAGTTTTGTTCATTTTGTCCGGATAATTTAAAACAGCTCTGTACTGCTTAATCTTGATTAGAACTATAAAGAGTCACTCAGCAGTGCCGAAGTACAACAGTGCCAAAAAAGGCGGGAAAATTTCAGACTAATTTAACCCTAAATTATTGACGCTAATTAACAAAGAAAACATCCAATTTTGGCGCCAAAATGTCTGCAATTGCAAATTTAACAATTATTTTTGCGCCAAAACGTCTAAGTTGCAAATTTTTTTGCTCAAAATATCAAATTGTCACTTAGGATTGTAATCGATCACCGTTTAATTTTTGATTGCCGCACTTTATATGTTCAAGTTTGTTCAAAGTTTTGGCAATGTTGAACAAAGTTTTCATTTTTGGCACTGTTGAACTAATTTTTCTCGGCACTGTTGTGCTGTCCCGATCTGTAATAAACGATGACTCACTGTATAGTAGCAACAGCTAGATTTTAAATCGAGAATATTTGTAAATAAATCTAGACACGCAATGTTGAGATGTGAACAAAATTCGAAATGCAATACCGGCTGTTGCTTATCTGGAATGAGAAGCATGTGAAAAAGTTTAATAAAATGCCTACATGTGAAAAAAAAATTAACGCTCTCACGTGATTTTTACTTTGAAATTTGTTTTAGTTGATAGTTCTAGGAAAAAAAATATTGCACCAGTGTTTCAATTTCACATTTGAACAACTAGTGCAAAATTTGAAACAGTAGTGCAATAGTTGAATACTGCACTAGTGTTTCAAATATTGCACTAGTTTTTCAGATATTGCACTAATGATTCAAATTGCACTAATTTTTCAAATAAGGCACGGAAACATACTGAAAACGTGTGTTTTATGAAGAAAAAAAGATATGACGGAGAAAAATAAAGTTATTGGCTTTTTCCAGAAGTAATAAGAGTTTTTCACATGTTCGGAGCTTTTACTCAATATGTGCTCAATCATTTGAACATTCAGTGTTGGACGCAATCTCCCATTAATTGCATTCATTCTGCTTCAAGCAGCAATAAAATTTTTCGGTCAGTTTTTCGAATCATCATTGAATTGAGTTTCGTTTTTAGCCGATTACTTAGAGGAGAGAAATAACCCACACACTCCAACTTACGGTTGGACTGTCCCAAACACTTCAAACTATGGTTATCCCACCTCTGTAACGGAATACCCAAATATTCCATACCAGCGACCGTTCGAAGACACAGTAAGAACAAGTTCGCCAGACAACTCGCAGAAAAACACATTGCAAGCAGGGCCTTCTAATTTTCCATCCAGATTTTTGACAAATTCAAAACAGAGACCAGAAACAACTGAAAGAAGCTCGCAAATTGATCTCAATTCAACCCCTGTTGAAAGCGTGTCTTCACAAACTCAACCGCAGCAAATCAACTTGAACATTGATGTTAACGTTCGTAATAACAACGAGCCAAAATACGATTATAACCACGACTTTAGACCAAGCTACTCTTCAGGCACACAGAACCAAACAGATTTTCGGGCTCTATCTCCAATCAATAGAGAGTTCAGAAAAACGAAAGAGACTCAAACTTTTGTTGATGAAAATTTGAACAGTTCTCAGTTGGCACCTCAGTTTTCAGACAGTAACAGTCAAAATCAATCTAGAGAAGGTGACAGCATGTATTTGATTGAGTATAGATATCTTCCTGGAGTTCAAAATGACCCCACGATTGAAGACTTGGAAATGAAATGCAGCAAGGCTCTTGGCGAAACCAACGGGTTGCTTACAGCAGCGGACCAAATTTCGCCTCCCGGAACGCCCAAACGGTATTCTCCAAGTGAGAGAAAACCGAGAAGCAACATAATTTCAATATCAGCAACTTCAAGTGTCAGAAATACATTTATAAGCCGACAGAGAACTGAAACTGATGTTGACGAAACGAGAAGGTTCAGTTCGTTGCCGAGAAACGGAATTCGAAGCAGTACGAATCCCATGACTGCAAGATACCAGGCACTTTATCCGAATCTGCTCAACTCAAGTAACAGCGATTGTGATTCAGAGAATTGCCGAACCTCTCAACTGAATTTGGCAAACAGCATACGGAATTTAAAAATCTCCGCAAATAAAGCTTTACTGGACCAAAAGACTGGAAACCGCGTTGGACTTGATGCGTCTCCAAGAATTCCTTCGGAGCCTGTTTATACATTGTCAGAGTTCAAACTATCCCGGGACAATTTAGATCACGACAATTTGACTTGTCAATGCTACGATTCTGCAACAACTTTTGCAGCTAATCGCTCATTCAATTCGGAGAATCTGACAGTTCCTGGAAGACCAATGCACGCTGACTCCAACCCGCGCTTAAATGACTTCAATTTACAGAGCACAAAAGCTACAAATACTTATCAAAATGGCAACTTGTATCATAGCACGTATCGAACATCAGCACATCATACTGACCACCAAAACGGGATCTGTACTTGCGAAGATGACTATAATTTGCGCAATCATGCTTTTTCCAACAACTCCAATTTGCTCAATGGTTATTACCCAGAATACAACACAAACAGTCAAGACTACTTTTTCCGGTCAAGGCTCACTAAGACACCGTATTACAGACAGTCTAATGATCCCTGCTGTAGATGTGTATGTGAGGATCATGATGATGATGATGATGGAAACTGTTACGGACAACAATGTCCCATGTGTGTACTTGAAAGGAGTTTCACTATCAGAAATGGCTCTTACCTTGACCCTTGAGAAACAATACGACTGGGTTGGGCTCTATAAGATTCTTGACTATGGAGAACTTTTAGTACTTTTTTATTAAATGTATGAAGAATAATGCATGTTGTTTGCAAATTTAGCTTTTCAAAATTGATAAATAACAATTATTAAAAGGCGATTAATGTATAGCAATTAATTAATTGATTTTTTGTTAGTGATTTTTTGCTTATTGTGAAACTGATGCAGGAATTGGAACTTACTTAAAACGAACTAAAAATACTTAGCGCTGATGACTTTACCGCCCTCCATGAGATAATACATTAGAAACTGCGGAAGAAGTACAATTTTTTTTGTCTAATCGCGCAACTTTGTTCAAGGAAAAAGCACTTAATTTTTAGCTCACGGCTTAGTCCTATCAATGTTTAACTGATTAATCCCAACACTGAGTCGCGGGTCAAAGCGCTGCGATTAAACAAACATCTGTAACTAAACTAGATAAAAAAACGTTTTTTTTGAAGAATGTTACTTTTTAAAAAAAGTATTGCCGTTACTGATTCATCTTATGAGGTGTAATTTCAAATACACGCAAAAATGTTCAAACAGTAAATCAACGGCAAATAGCGGCCATTGCAGTCGCTTCAAAATGTTGCGATCTTGCTACCAGAACACAAATTCATAGTCTTTATATGTATGTATAGTCAGGGGCGGATCTAGGATTTTCTCGAGGGTGGGGGGGGGCGGACTTTCAAAAAATTTTCGAAAATTTTGACGACCTTTTTTTTAGGTCGACCAAATTGATTTTTCGAGCTCTCCCAATGCACTGTTATGTCCCTATTTTGGCTAAATGGATTTTGACTAAATTTTCTGCGCCGCAGGCAAACTTTTGAAAAAAAAACAGTCAAAAAAGCAGTTTTTGGGCACTTTTTGAAAAATGTTGACAGAAAAATCGCGTTTTTTTTGGCGCGCGCTCCCCCTCAAACTTGGTATATATTGGCGCCAAAGGCGTCTTACTAAAAATTTTAGTGTCGGTCCGCCAGAAATGGATTTATTAAAAAGTATCAAAGGGGGGACCCTTTGGGTCGGCAGGGGGTCGAATCCCTTAGGGGGGAGGGGGTCCGCCCACCCCCCAGCCCCGCCCTAAATCCACCCCTGTGTATAGCATAGCCCGCATTTAAGAAAAGTGAAAACAAATCGATTAAATTGATTTTTGTGGTCTAAAATGTTGTAAATATAATCGACTCCCATGTTACGTTCAGACAACAAAATTGGACTAAAAATGGATTTAAAACAAAAATGTCAAAACAAAATGCATTATAATTTATTTGGAATCCAATATAATGGATTTTATAATAAGTAGGAAATCACATTAAAATGGATTTTCTTTCCTTTTTATTTTTGTTCCACGCGTCGTGCAAAATTTTGCAGGATTTTCTGCATTTATCAAGTGAGTTATGCGGAAAATTTGCTACGGCCTAACCCCCATTTCTAAACCTAAACTCAAATTGCAAAAAGATTCCGTGAAGCTCTCCCCCCTAACATTTGCCCCTTTGCTCCCCTTCAATCTCACTACACCTGTGAACAACCCCCCCCCCCCACCATTAACCCAGCACCCCTTCCCCACATGAACCCCCCAACTGAATCCCACCGTCTGACACCCCCCCCCCCCCCCACTGAACCCCGCGGGGAGAGGGGGGCTTGTTGTAAAAGGGTAAACGCTAGGGGGGGTATGGAAGTGGGACTAGTCCACCTCCAACTTTACCCCCTTCCCCCAAGTTTAGTAAAATTGTTGAAAGGAACAAAACTCAGTTTTTGGGTAACATAAAAACTAACAAAAATATCAAAGTTAGGCAGAAAAAAAATTAAATTGAACAACAAGTAACCAACGTAACCAACTTTAGTTTAAAACGTAAAAAAACTATGCGCGTTGAAATTCGGCATCTCAGTAAAGTAGAAAAAAATCGATTATAATTTAGTTTCACTGTCAGTGTCCACAAAAGTGAAAAAAAATCGATTATAATGGATGAAAAAAGGATTTTGTTGCCTCGAAAATTAGTAATATTATAATTCATCTTAATTGATTAAAATCGATTTGTTTTCCCTTTTGTAGACACTGACAAAGAAACTCAATTATAATCGATTTTTATTCATGGAATTCCAATGCGGGAGGCTTTATAAACAAATGTAGTCGCCCCACCGAAAACCTTAAGCCAACATTGTCTTTAAATATCTGACTCTGTCTTGCAATTGCATTTAAATATCTGACTCTGTCTACTTATATTGTCAAAATTTTCATCTAAAATTAACACTTCAATTATGTCATAAAATAGTCTTTGCCTTTTATATACAGCCCCATCTTATGGGCCCAAAAATTTGCTACCCCTCAAATTTTTCGTTCAACATATGATTTTGTTAAAAAAATTTTGTGACTTATTTCACAAAAACTCGTGATGAAAAAAAGTAACTTCCAGTCTTGACGCTTCAAATTGGCTGAAAATTTTTTTCCTTGTTCCGAAAACGTTTTTTTTTCATAGCCAATTTTTGCGAACTTAAAAAATCCTATTAAGGGTCAAATGTAAAGTATTATTCAAATTCTCTTTGTCTTGACTCAGATTCAGAAAAAAATCATTAAAATTGCCACAAAGTCAGAAAAAAATTGATCTGAGTCTTTTCAATTTCTGCAATACGTTAGACCAAAATTTACCTCTCAACTTGAATTATACTAAAAAATTAAATTTGGAGCGGCAACTACAGCTTAGGAAACAATAAAAAATATAACGTTTAAAAATTAGTGGAATTCAAATTGAGTGGTAAGCTTCTCGAAAAACTTAGTCTATTTATTCTGAAAGTTGATCATATTCCGACTTTGAAGTTTGACTTTTTCTACTTTGAGACAATTTTCATGACCATGTTTAGAATCTGAGTCACAAAGAAAATTTTAAATCAAATCTTTACCTGTTGAGTCCATCTATGTATTCACCATACAGCATTGTCATTTTAACGTTTCTTTAGATATAGTTACCGCTCTTTCTCCCTTTTTCACTCAATTAATCACATTCTTTGGGGACAAACAAGAAATTTGACAACAAAAATTGCAATTTTATTTTTGCTTGCTTCAATTTTTTAGAATTTTTTTTTATTTTTCAATTTTTATATCAACTTGGCCTGAACTCTATCTGCTTTTATAGCAACTGATAACCGTTGCTTTCGGAGAAAAAAATTTGTTTAAAATTATATGATCAGACCTAAGATTTTTTTGCTGCCAGCAGAAATTAAAAAATAAGTTTTTAAAAACAAAAAAAAACTAAGACACCGTTCCTCCTCATTTTTCAAATGGTCGGAACCATAAATTATCTGGGAAATTTTTTATTGCTTTAAACTAGCGACCACTAAGTTCAGATAACATATGCTAGCAAATTGCAAAGCATTTATTGGATTTCGAAAAAAAAACATTCAACTAACAGTTGAAAAAGAGTAATGAACGCAAGTAAACAAAAAAAAAAAAAAACTGACTGACTTGTTTTTTTTCAAGAGCCTTCACTTTTTGAACTTCAAGCAAAAAAAATAGATAACCGTAAGGCTCTTTGAAATTAAAGAGCAAATTATGATGGACACTCTTCTGTTAAAATTGTCTTAAAACGTTAAGTTTTTACTTCGCTGGGAAATCTGATAATTAATTTCCATTTTCGAAATCAGATGTTGCATATTTTTCATGGCCTCTACTTTTTTGATGTTCAATAGTGGAGTTTGCCTTCCTACCAATATAAGTAAACTGAACTTGGAAAATTCAAACCGCAAAATAAAATCAAAATTGAGCATTAGCAAAGTTAAAATTTTTTCGTGAAAAAATAAATCAGTAAGACCTATATATTGAAACTTGAATTCAAAAAATAACACGAAGTCAAGTTGCAAAAAAAACTTTAGACTTCAATCGGATAAAAACAAAAATGTGGATTCTGATTCTCCAAATTGCTCTCAAATGGCACCTGCTAACAGGCCTTCGAATCGGCGCTACCAAAATTGTGCATTTATAATAAATAACTTCTGTAATATGCCTGATTCTTAAGCGAACTTAATATTTTCATCATTCGGTTCCTCCATGAAGAGATAAGCTGCCGTGCATCCCGCTGATTTTGAAACTAGCCATTCAGTTCATTGATTAAATAACTTTTTAAAGATACGAGCTTTCAGAAGGAGATAAGTGTTTTATGATCTAAAGAGCACCTGCTCAGATGTTATAACATTTATAGTTATACCTCTTCAAATGGTTTAACATTTATAGTTATACCTCTTCAGGTGGTATAGTAACGTGGTATAACTAACTTAATAAATTTTATTTTAAAAGCAATTTATTAGACTTCTATTTTATCTTCAGCTCAAACATCTTACAATCAATCTGTTTTTATTTTTTATCTTACAGTCACCTTCAATTCAGTTTTAGCAGCCTCTTCAATTTGCTTCTTAATTTGATTTACGTCATCTTGCATCAACTGTTTCTCAAAATGCCGAAAAGTCAACCTGAATGCCTTGCTTGTTCTTCCAGTTTTGTTGCAAATATACGTGTCAAAACAGCTCACATTTTCCACAAGGTCGCCGCCTATGCTTCTGACGAGATCGTAAAAATCATTTTCGTGGAATTTTGCAGAACTGTGGAGCCAAAACGAGATATCGTTATACATTGGCATGTAGTTCGAAAATGGCTTGAACTTGAAAGGTTCATCAATTCCTTTATCGGCTACTTGAAACTGATTGATGAACCTTTCATCCTTGCTCCAGAATAGCCTGATGTCTGGAATGTTGTACAGTAGCATTGCTATGCGTTCCAGTCCAATTCCAAAAGCCCAACCTACTCGATCTGGACATCCTAAAAAGAAAAGCATTGTTATGTGTTATCATTGGTTCGCATTCCTGTCGACCATTCGATTTTCAGTTTGAAACCATCTAATTAAGTTTGAATTGCTATGCGTTCCAGTCCAATTCCAAAAGCCCAACCTACTCGATCTGGACATCCTAAAAAGAAAAGCATTGCTATGTGTTATCATTGGTTCGCATTCCTGTCGACCATTCGATTTTCAGTTTGAAACCATCTAATTAAGTTTGAATTGCTATGCGTTCCAGTCCAATTCCAAAAGCCCAACCTACTCGATTTGGACATCCTAAAAAGAAAAGCATAGCTATGTGTTAGCATTGGTTCGCATTCCTGTCGACCATCGATTTTCAGTTTGAAATCTTCTGTTTTTCAGTTAATCAGCAGGAGGCCTAACCCAGTGCTTCAAAGAGACCACCTCGTTCAAATAAAGCCGTCATATTTCAACCGGTTGAATGATTTCGCCACCATCTAGATCTTGATCTCATGAACTCCAATGCAGTAATATGTAACACTTGAATATCTCACCAGCATCGGCGACAATTTTCTGCTCGATCACTCCACAGCCTAACACTTCCACCCACTTGCCCTCGTGTTCTATCTCCAACTCCCAGGAGGGGTGGGTGAAGGGGAAGTAGACCTCATTCCACCTGGAGTTCAGCCGACGACTGAACAGGTAGTTCATCAGGTCTTCCAGACACGACTTCAAGTCATACTCCAGCATCTTCGAGGTCTCCATTGTCAGAGTCTCTTGGTACTCGCTCTGAGCAGTTCAAACCATACAAATTATTTCTGGCAATAGAGATAGCAGAAGTACGAGTATACAATCACTCACTCTATCATTTTTGATACTTCGTCTGAGTAAAGTACTTGAGTGGTCATGTTGTTTTTTGAAAGAAAATATATTTTTGAAGACAGCATCATTTTTGATACTTCGTCTGAGTAAAGTACTTGAGTGGTCATGTTGTTTTTTGAAAGAATATATTTTTGAAGACAGCATCATTTTAGAACTTAAACTCTATCTTTGTTACTTTTTGTATGAAGTTCTAAGCAACCTCAGAGGGTTACTTAAAACATTCATCAATAATTGTCGCTTGTTTCGAGTTTTCGCCCTACCTTAACTACCATTTTAGGCACTTTTGAAAAAATCTACATCAGTTTCTGGAAGATTAATTAAGTATGACAGCAGAACACTCACTGTTCGCTCATGCGATGTAAATAGTTGCGGCTGCTGAATCGAATGCATGCCATCCATCGATCCACTACTAGAGTTAATCTGAACTTGTATTGAAATTGGATCCGAGTTCGGAAACAACTGGTACTTGGTGAACAATCTCACTCCCTCGCACTGATGAAAGACCGGAAAGTGACTGGAGTCGATCTCGTCTCGTCTGTAGACATCGCCAAACACAAGGAAAGCAGGAAGTCCTGCTCTGATCAGTTCTGACTGATGAGCCGAAGTGTGCGCTCGCAGAACCCAGTCCTTAAACAAATGACACTATTGTCTCACGAAGGCTTCCACAATGCAATAGGATGAAAATTCAATTAGCTTAAAGAAGCAAAAAAGTGACAAATAACTTGAGGAAAATGATCTCAAGAAAAAACGAGATAACTAAACTAGAAAACTATCAAAAATCAAACACGAACAACCGCTGATAAACAAATCTTCAAAAAATACATAATATAGAGAGTTGCAAAAAGTTCGGACAGACAGAAATAATTAAAAAGAAAAAAGAGCAACTGTCTAGACATCAACGGAAACTAAAACTGAAATAAACATAACGTCGAAAAATTATAAAGCAGAGTTTCGCTCAAAACCTATAACCACGGCGGGCAATTGCATCCGAAGCGTCGAAATGTTTTATAGTAAATTCTGGATGCTCATAGCAGTATTTAAAAATTAGGCTAGCATAATCATCGGATAATCGACAATCTCGCAATTTGAATTTGATCTGACAAAAATTTCAAGGTTGTTCGGCTTCAGATTTTGCATGTAAAAAGCATCGAAAAGCACTGATTGCTCATTTCAATTAATTGTGTCTGTCCGAACTTTTTGCTACTAATTATAGCTTACATATATAGAGAGTTGCAAAAAGTTCGGACAGACAGAAATAATTAATAAGAGCAATCTGCCAATTTTGAGCAGTTTTTGCATGCAAATTTAAATTTTTAGGTGACATTGAGACATACTTTCTGTCTGAAAAAAATGTCTGAAAAAGGTCATTTGCTCTTTTTAATTATTTTTGTCTGTCCGAACTTTTTGCAGCTCTCTATAATACAGTCAATGTCAAATTGTTGGCAACATCAGTGAACTTCAGCAATTAAATTGGTCAAAAACGATACCATTTTGGGTTTATTAGTTTTCTGAACACGGTTTTTACGAGGGGGAAATCATTGAAAAACAGAAATAAAACGTCAAAATGAGCGGTTTTAGGTTAATTAACTTCGTTCAGATTTGTTGACCGAAAAGGATATTGACAACAATTTGGCATTAACTATATAATAAGTTGCAAAAAGTTGGAACAGACAGAAATAATTAAAAAGAGCAATCTGCCAACTTTCAGCAAACTTTGAATGCGAAGTTGAATTTTTAGGTGACCTTGAGATATACTTTTAGTCTACAAATAAGCTTTTGCATGCAAAAAATGTGTGAAAGAGGTCATTTGCTCTGTAAACTAATTCTATCTAATCCAACTTTTTGCAGCTTCTAATAATTCTCTCAAAATTCGCTTTTGCTTTTTTTCGGTGTTTCAGTTGTTTGACTTTGGCTCGGAGAAGTTGCAGACAATTGATGAACTCAATCTCTCACAATTTTTTTCACATGATTCAAAAAAATAGACGTTTCTGAAAAAACGCAATCATTTGACCTTGCTCTGGTGACAATTGCAATACAACTTTAAATATAGCTTTTAACAAATTTATGGAGCAACGTCTTAACTTTTTAAAATAACTGTTAACTTGAGACAACGAAATGGCGTTAAAACTGCAATCGAATTTTCAAAACTGCATTTGAACTGACAAAAGAGCAATGCAAAATGACGCGCTTGTTCGAAGAAATATATTTTGCCTCAGTTCAAGAGCACAATTGAAAAAACATTTTCTTCCAACATCAATTTGCGATGGAATATATAATTTTTCAAAGCAAAAAATACAAAAAATGTCGACAAGAAGGCAAACGCGAAACCTCTAAGTTATATTTTGATGGCTTTTGAAGGCCAGAATTATTTCAGATAAAAAATACGTTGTCAAAAAAATTGTTAAAAGCTATACTTGGCTGTTATTTCAACGCTATTTTGCTGTCTCGAGGTAAGCGTAAGAGTTATTTCAGAACTTAAAGACGTTGTCCAATCAAATTGTTGAACTCTCAACTTAAGAAGAAAACATTTAGTTAATGCCAAATTGTGCGCCAAATCTTTTTGATCAACGAAACTGAACGTTGACGTCGAATTTCATGTTGACGTCGAATTTCAACTTTTTACTGATTTCTGCCTCGAAAAAACTGTTTCCGAAAAAACTAATTAATCTGAAATGCAATAGTTGTTGACCGAAATAACTACACATGGTAACCGACATTGACAACAGTTTGGCATTAACTATATAATTAAAAACAAAAAAAAATGGAACTAACAGAAATAATTAAAAAGAGCAATCTGCCGATTTAGAGATATTTTTGCATCCAAATTTGAGTTTGAGGTGACCTTGAATCATAATTCCTGTCTGAAAAATTGGAAATAGATAATTTGCTCTTTTTAATTATTTGTCTGTTCCAACTTTATGCAGCTCTCTGTAGATGGTCTTAAAATTCTTCGAATTTCTGAACAATTTATGATTGACTCTTTTTCGATTAGAGAGAACTGGATCAATAAATTTAACCAATTAGAGAAAACTGGATCAATACATGTTTTTTATTTAGCTGGGGATCTGATTATAAAAATACATTTTCGAAATTAGAAGTTGATCACCGAGTTCGATAGTGGAGTTAACCTTCCTTTCGACAAAGAAAATGAATTGATTATGTCCTTTCTACAAAGAAAATGAACTGAACTTGAGAAAGAGCCAGATCAAAAAGCAAACCGAGAAAACAGCCTGAACAAAATTTAAGGCTTTTCTTGAAAAAGGCCTAAAAAACTATCAGGACCTACATAAGAGTCTGAATCACGTTCATCGACTCTTACAAAAAGAGCAATCTGTCATTTCTGAGCAATTTTTGCGGGCGATTTTCATTTTTTAGGTGACCCACTTTGTCTGAAAACTCATCTTTTGCATGCAAAAATTGTACTAGAAAGGTGATTAATTGAGTCAGTTCCAGCCTTTTGGAATTCTCTAAATATACAAAATTGGAGGAAAAAAATCGTTTTTCAAGGCCTTTTTATACTGCTTATCTGAAAACTTGTCACGCATAGATTTCACTCTGCAAAAACAGCCATTTAGAAAAAAAACGCTGCATTCGCTATTGCTTAGACAATTCAATGTTCCAAAAAGGACACTATTGTAATTTTACCACCTGAAAGATATCATCAAATCGTTGTCTGAAAAAAAATTCCACAGCTTGTTGAGCATTCATCCCCCTATGGTTCCTGAAAAGTTAGATATCTATAAAAGAATAAATCAATAACTCAAAATACGTGGATTTGGTCTCTTGTACCAAAATCCTCCCTGGAGCTTTTAAATAAATTCGTATAGAAACGTCTACTACCGAGGGAAAACTTTCAATAAGCTTGGTCAAAACAGTTTTAGATTTTACCTGATCTTAAGTCTTGCCCTGGGGTCTACTTAGATCTTGCAAATTGAGCTACCTTCGTAATTTAAAATTCAAGGACTCAATCATAACAACTTCCCGGAAGAGGGGAGAACTTATATTAAGGACATGTCGGCTGTTCAATCGACTAGATCATTAAAATAATTTCGCGCAAAATCTCGAGCTTAGAAGAAATTTAAAGAAAACGGTAGAAAAGTTTGAATTTTTCGAAGCGCGGTTCGTTGAACTTATTATACAGGTGGATTCTATACTAACTTGAAAACTTGCAGATACAATTGGACAATATTAAAGCTAAGAAAATGAACCCGAATCATACAACAATCAGAAATTCAACAACAATTAATGAGAAAATCAATCAATTTTCAGAGAAATGATTAATTCGAAGTTTTGGCGCATTCGGTTTTTGTTTCAGGGGAATCCGAGTAATTTTAGTAATTTGGCCAAATAATTTTAATTAATAGAGATAATAAATAGAGAACGAGTGAGTTGCTCGAATTGTGGGCGCTAGGAATTTTAGCAGACCAGTTTTTTAGCAGACCAATCTTTTAGCAGACTCAAAACAATTATCAAGTCAGAAAGCCAACTTCAAACGCGGCGTTGGCAATAAGCGAATACTTGCTCCGCTGCTCTTCCATTCGGCACCAGTATTATTGAGCGCTTATATCCTTGTTTTGCCGCTAATTTAGACAGGTGCCGGACACCAAGCCGACGGAACTTCAACCCGAATTGTAAAACTAGGGAATTCGAGCCGAAATTTTTTTTATTAAGTCATGAAATTTGATTATCTTGGGCACTTTTTTGAGAGTTTCTCAATTTCATGATCTTTCTTTACCAGTTTTTGGCTTTTCCAAAACATTTGAGCCTCTAATAGATGTTTAGGAAAGAAAGAACTAAAGCAATGTTGAAGGCAATTTTCTTGTTTATAATTTATGCATTTCAAAAACCGGCTGATATTATTAACGGATGCCAATCCCAAGTGATTCATTGTCATGAGTAACGCTTATTATGGACTGAACATGCCTTAATTTTTGAAAAGCAACGTTTTACAGATGAAAAAAATGGCGATTCGAGGTACTTGTAAAGTTCAATTTTCGGCCTGAAGTCCCTTCGGCTTGAAGTCCTGTCGGCTTGTTGTCCTAGACCTAGTTTGCACTGTTGTGCTTTTGAAGCTGATTGCTTTGTTGACAAATCGCTTGATAATTTTCTTAAATGGGGAAGCATGGCCAAAACTGAGCGCCTTTTTGAGACTGTTAATCAATCATGCGTCAGTTTGGTCGCGTCCCTCATGCTGGAGGGACCGAATGCTTGAATCTTATTTTGGCTTATTTTCAGCCAATCAGAATTGATTGAATATTCAAAAATCTCAGAAAAATCTCAAAGTAAGAAAATATATCCAGGCCATTAGTGTTAATATTGACCGATTAGATAATTAACCGATTAAGCAAGCCAAAAAACCCGTTTGAAATGTCGAGAAAATAGATCTAATTAACCGATTAGACAGATTAAGCAAGCCAAAAAACCCGTTTGAAAAAAAATGTCGAGGAAATAGATCTATAAAAACTTCACTTGAACCAGAATTGTAACGAAATTTATGAATCGGTAGCGAAGTCAACAAAACGTAATGCAAAAACTTAAATCCCTTTAAATAACGCTATGTAAGGCGGTTAGGATGTTATGACATTGAATAAAATCTTCAAGCCGAATAAGTTCTTTAGGTGACAAAAATAAACTTTGAATTTAAAATGCAGACATTCAAATATGTCTTTTGCTGTTGATGTCCGATGACAGAGGCCTCTAAGAGATTAGTCCTGTGGACAAAGTTTAAGACGTGGGAAAGCCTAATGCTCGGTTGCAAAACACTTGCTCTGGCATGTGTAACTCACGAATTAGGCCGGTAAAGACCCGAGAAGAGCCAAATGCACCGCACAAAAATGAACACTCAACAACTACAAGCTTTTTCCAGGAAAAAAAACGGGTTCCGAATAACTCAAAAGCGCATCGTTCAATAATACTAAGCGTTTACATATAACTTCGTGAAACCTTAACATCCTCTCCAAACTCTATGAGTGGTCCAAAGCTTTATGAATGGTGAGGCAAAAACATTTATAAAGATAGTATTAAATTTTCTTTTTATAACCTTATTGATGTAGTAATTATCAGATTTCGATCTTGCCACGTGGTCTTCAGCAATCAGCAGCACGTCAAAATTTTGCTCTATTGACACGACCGGTGAAAAATCTTCGTAAGTTGAGAACAAAGGACTACTGCTGCCAGCATAACCTCCGAACTTCTGGTGAAAAAACTTAGTAATTCTCTGTTTAACAATATTTAACGGATGGTTTTTGTTAGATAGTAATTTCGTTTCAGTTTTCGCAATGATCCTTGGTGTTATGTTGGTCCATTCGTCTGTTTTGTACGTTTTACTTAGAACCGAAACCGAATTTGAGAGTCTGCGTTTTGTGTGCTTGCATAAAAGACATTGCGACTGACGGCTGGCATTTCTGAGAACGCAAATCATTCTGTTCATCTTACATGCTCAACATTGTAATCATCTGAAAAACACAACATACCAAAACTTAAAAGAGCAGAAAAAAATAAGAACCCGCTGTCAAAGATGGAAAACGAGAAACGAAAGTTCTGAAAAAGTATTTTTGGTTCGTCTCGCCTTACTCAAAACAAAAGTCAAAATTTCGCCGCAAAATGCAGGAGACATAAAAGCCCAGCGACCAAAATTTGGGGCTTTTAGTAGATTTTTTGTTCGTTAAAAAGAAAGGCCGAGAATGATCCGAGCTCATTTCTGAGGGTGAAGCAAAAAAAAAAATCTTTTAGTAGGAGCATGATTATGTGATTGTGAAAATACCTGCATCGCTCATATGATTGTCATGTTCTAGATAAATGGTCTCTTAGGCCACCGAACATTTTCCACTTTTCGGCTTATTTTCAGGCAATTAACTGATCCAGAAATTTTTTTTTTTAAATCTAGCTTCACGAAATTTTGTTCAACATCACCAACCACAAGGATCTGAAGGCCAAACAATCTAACCTAACCAACTGCGAGCATTTTGGTGTTCAGATTGTTAGGCATGATAGACAATACAACAGCAATTGTCAGTTCATCAAAAAACTTCATCAAAGAAACTCAAGACCTACGAATCTAGGATTCTAGTGAGTTTAACTTCATAAAAGATAAGCAACAAAATAACAAAGTATCAGGAAGCATTCAACTAACGAACAAAAAGCTTCAAAATTAAATTGAAACATAAGTAAGTAAATTTCCTATAATCACAAATTTTATTTAGTTACGTTATTTAGTTAACGTACACAATACTGTTCTTGGACAACAATCCGACGGGACTTCAAGCCGAAGGGACTCCAGGTCGAAATTTAAACTTTACATACACCTCAAATCAATGTTTTTTATCTGTAAAACGCTGCTTTTAAAAATTTTAGGCAAGTTAAGACCAGATAAGCGTTATTCATGAAAATAAATCACTCAAGATTGGCATCCGTTAATAATATCAGCCGGTTTTTGAAATACATAAATTATAAACAAGAAAATTGCCTTCAACCGTGTTTAATTTTTCAAATTTCCTAAACATCATTTGGAGGCTTAAATTTTATGAAAACGCAAATAACAACTGAAGAAAGATCATGAAATTGAGTAATTCTTTGAACATTTTCTTGTTTTTTATAACGTGAATTATTTTATTATAACTTGTGAATAATTTCTTGTTTTTTATAACTGGAATTATTTTATTATAACTTGAATTATTTCAACGTTTTTCTGAGCACAATATTCATGCAATGAAACCTTGAAACTTTCAAATTACTTCATAGATCAAATCGGTTCGTGATAAGTTGAAGTTTTTGTAAGCAAGCTGTTCAAACTAAAAAATTTCCTTGACCGAATCGTTTTGCGAAAAGGCAAAGTTCTTCTAGGCAACCAATGAACGCTCTGAACTTTGAAATATTTCAAGTTATTTCAAAGGGCGAATCGGTTTGCAAAAAGTTTGCTAAGAAAATTTGCGTAAACTTTTGCTTGAAAAAAATTAAGCTTTTCGCAAAACGATACGGTCTATGAAATAGCTTGAAATATTCAAGTTTCTCTGAGCACGTTACTCATGTGTTGAAACTTTGAAATTTCAAAGCGCAAATCGGTTTGCAAACAGCTAGTTTTTTTAACAAGGAGGTTGCTGTTTTTAGTTGGTTCATTGCAGAAAAAATCAATGTATACCAGCAAAATTTCCAAAGAAATGGACATGCACTGTCTAGCTTTGGAAATGAATTGAGCCCATTTTGTCTAAAGAATTGAATTCTTGTCCATAAAAACTCTAAAAAAAACTTAATCTTAAGAAAATTTGAATGCTCTAGAACATTTTCCGCCTTCTCTTAGCCATTAAGCCTAACGAATTTTTTCAGCGTTGTAATTGACAAAACAAAACATTGCCTTCAGCTAAACATTGCGTCCAAATCGCATTCCGACTTTTATTTCATATATAAGATATGAAGTTTTTTTCAACTCTTGAATATCATTGCGACAAGTTAAAGTTTGTTTTCGAGGAAGCTAATGAGCATCTTGCAAGTTGTTTTCAAGGCTTGAATCGATTAGCAATAAATTTTTGAGCTAGTGAGCAAAACAAGATTTTTTAGCAAGCTCATTATATATTTCAAACCGTTTTCATTGATTAATTCGATAAGTTAAAAAAAATTACCAGCAAGCGATTGAGCGATGAAAACTTAAGTTGTTTCATAGCGTGAATAGATTAGCGAAAATATATTTAAACGTTGCAATTGACAAAGCTAAAACGTTGCGTTCAGCTAAACATTTCATTTAACATATAAGATAACGTATGAACTGACTAACGTTTACTGAATGAAGTGATAGTTGCATGGAAAACAAAAGGATCTGTGCAATAAAATTACTCCAGGATTCCATCTCAAATTTCAGTTTCAATTGACTTTTTACCTGATATTTTTCTACCTGAACCAAAAAAATCATTTGAGATCTATTCAAGTAAAAAGATATGAACTGAAAGAAGGTGCTTTTCAAAACTTTTTTTTTCAATTTGAGCTCATTAAAACTTTCCGATCAAAGGTATACACCGATCAAAAAAAAATTTTTCTGCAATAGCTCTCCTCTCTGCTATTGCAGAAAAAATCTATTGCAAATCTATTGAAAAAGTGAACCTTTTATCAGTAAATCTAATAATGCTCAAAATGAAAAAATATATACATTTTCAAAATTAAGCAATCAATAATTCTTCATAAATTTTTGGTATATTTATAATATTCGTATTGCTATAAGTTTTGAACCTTTGTGCAACTAAAAAAGATAATCTGAATTTAAAAGAAAGGGATTCCACTAGCATTAATATGACTATAAAACGAGAATTGAAAACGTGCAAATTGACTATGTTGTTCAAAATCAGCCCATGTTCGTGTTTTTTAGTTTCATGTATAGAAAATGAACTGTCAATTTAATAGCATCGGCATCAGTTGATAAAATCCAAGCGAAGTACTCGTCCTCAGAGCAAAGTGAACCTTCGCCAATATGGTTTCTTAGGGCGGCAAAAATTTTTCCAATTTGCGGCTTGCTCACTTCCGGATACCATTTTTCTACGAATGTGCCGTTAAATTTTTCTTTGGCTTCTTTTCTCTTGTCATTTGCCTGAATCATGCTTTCAATTTTCGCCAGCATTTCTCGCTTTTTATGAGTCATTTTGAAGTGTTCAAGAATTTCATCTTCGGTTACGATTTTACTCTCCCCGGGAGTTTTCACCTCTAAACTGACAGGATCCATAAGTTCTGCTTTCGATTCACAGTGATCGAAGAACGCTCGAACCATAGGCCGCCTTTCTCTGTGTTTATTGAACAGCCTTTTTCTAGCTTTTTCGTTTCTCAGGAACGCTCTAAATGTTAATTATACGAACAAATACTACTTTGAATCAATTTCAAAAACAGTATATTGATCAAATTTAAATATAACCATGGAACGTAGAGCATACCTGTAAAACTTGCACTCTTCTAGGAACTGAATTAACTGTTGTTGATTTATCTCTGTTGATGGGTCCAACAGCAGACCAATTGTGGATGCTTCGAATCCGAGAAATTCAAAAGCATCATGGGTGTTTCGTGATAAGACTACTTCCAACTCCGAGTTGGCAAGATTCCGGATGTCAACATCAGGCTTTTTCATTTGATAAGTCAGGCCTTTAGAGCTCCATTTAAGGTTGAATTTGTAAATCATTTTACCGACACAGTATGAGAAATCTCCGTTAGAATAAAAGCCCTTAGCGGAATCGAATTCACTTTCAGGAACGACGAGTACGTCTATCTGATATTGTTCTGAAGATAAATAGGAGAGGTGATCTCCCATATGACTAGCTTCAACAGCATCAATTTCCTTATGTAGCGTTGACCTGAATTCGTTCATCTAGACAAAACACCCACAAAAAGTTTACTCACTTAGACTCAATTCTTCAATTTGGAGATATTATTTCATTCACAAAGCCAGGGTACCCATTTAGATCATCAGCAATATCAAATGATTGGAGAAACAAACTTTTAGGAGAAAAACGTGCAATATAAATCCCATCTCTAAACAAATGTAGGCTGCAAAAAAATCAAGACATTTCTAACAAATTTTTCTAGAAGGCTAAAGAAATTTTTAACATGGTCAAGGAATTTATCATTTGTCTCAACACTAAGCTGGAACGAACACGGTAAAAAAAATAAGAGAATTAAAATAAGAAAAAAAATGAGAAAAAAAATAAGAAAAATATTATTATAATCAGCCAGGAAAATTATTATACTCAGTCAGAAACTCCGCCGAAGACGGTCTTAAGCCCGGTTGAAAAAGGAGGAGGGTTGTCGACAGGAAGAGCATCCGGCCGTAAAAACCCAAGCACCAATACTGAATTAAGATGAGTCATAACAAAGGGGGCCGTAAACCCCTAAGTGCGACGCGGGCGCTTGTAGCGTCTGCCTACGATAGAACGAGAGCACCACGACCTCGGAAGAAACCAAGCGTAATGACGGCCCACCGGCTTGACAAGCCTGGCAGGACACTGACAGGAAGAAGTGGGGATGTTGCACGTGAAATGCTGAACCGGAAAGTAGATATCGCGTGCCTACAGGAAGTAAAATGGCGTGGTAAGGGAACAAGGAAGATCGGATAAGGCTAAACTGTTTTGGTCTGGAAGCAAAGATGCAGCGAACGAAGCCGCTAATGTTTTATTCAGCTCACTCGTTGACAAAGTTCTTGAAGTTAAACGAGAATCGGACCGGTTGATAGTATTGAAGATCATTATTGGATTGACTATTTTCACTGTCGTGTCAGCTCACGCTCCACGGACTGGACGCGCCGAGAGTGAGAAGACCGCGTTCATCGAAGAGCTTGATTTAGTACTGAACAATGCTATTATTGTCGAAGGTGATATGAATTGACATGTCGGTAGTCAGACCGCTGGTTTTGACTCTGTTCATGGCGGTTTCGGATACTGAAAACTAAATTCGGATGGAGTCAGGTTACTTGATTTTGCTTCAGCACACGATTTGCGTATCGCGAACACTTGGTTCAAGAAGACTACTGAGCAGCTAGTCACTTATTCCACAGGCCAGATCAAAAATCAGATCGGCCGCGAAACATGAACACCATTCCTGTTGGCACACAGCACAAACCTCTTTTGGTGGACTTTGAAATTGATTGCAAGCTCGCCAAACCGAAACATCTGCCAAGGCTTCGAGCTTTCAAACTTAGAGCCTTGGAATATCAGGAAAAGTTCAAAGAAGAACTCGGCAGCCTGAAGGAGATCCGATGCAAAAAGTTGAGATCCACTGTTGAAAAAGTCTGTGGTACATCAAAGAAAAAGAAAGATGGTCAAGAGACGTGGTGGAGTCCAGAAATGGAGAATTTAACGATTGCTAAGAAAAACTCTGGCGTCGCGATAAGACACAGCAAAACTGGAATAGCTACGTTGCAGCGAGGCGGAGCGCCAAGACAGCTGCGAGAAAAGCAATAAGCGAGCAGGCGCAGCGTGCGGCGGAACAAACACAACAAACGCCTGTTTAGTATTGCAGAGCAGAGGTCACGCGAACAGTTGGATGTGACTGATTCAAACTGTATCACAGGCAATGATTGAAATTTGCATATGTGCCCGGAGGCTCGTAAGAGTTTGGAAAAATCACCTCGAGGTTATCATGAACGAAGAGAACGAGTTCGTTGCTAAAGAACCGCCTGCAATCAGCGGTTCGCTTGAAGAGTTCACTGACACTGAAGTGAAACAAGCTATACACAACGTGAACAGTTTCAAATCTTCCGGATCCTCAGGGGTCAACACTGCAATGATTGAAGCTACTGGGTACTGCGGAAAGGAGATAATGAGATATTTTTGCTGAATAACAAGAGTTGAAGCATAGTTCACTGGTTCCACTGTAAAAAGGTAATGGCGATCCTCTGTCGCCTAAATCCTATCGTGGCATCAAGCTACTGAACATGGTTTCAAGATTGCAGAGAAATTATTAGAAACTCTACTCCAAGCTAATCCGAATAGCAGATAGACTGTTTGGGTTCATGCCCGGTAGGATAAAAGTAGATGCCATCTTCGTAACAAGGCAAATTGGCGAGAAAAATTCGGAGAAAAACAAGAAGCTGCACTGCATCTCCATTGATTTGGAGAAGGCATTCGAGCGTGTCCCACGGGCAATCAGTGTTGAGGAACTTTGGTTCCAAGGAGGTTCCAGATCAACTAGTACAGGCACTTACGGCAATGTATACTGATACACGAACAGCAAAGCTGTGGACGGTGAAATGTCTGGAGATTTTGAGGTCACATTGAGAGTCCATCAAGGGTCTATGCTGAGCCCTCTGCAATTTATAGCAGTCATGCAGTACGTCACCGAGTCGGCCCGAAGTAATGACATCACGGATCTACTGTATGCAGATGGTATTGCACTATCGGGTGGAACAGTCGAAGAGGTGCTTGCAAAATATCATACCTGGAAAACAGAAACGGAGCGTAAAGGTCTGAAGGTGAACGTTGGTTAATCTAAAGCTCTCAGCATGACATTGAAGTTGAAGACGATTTCGGCGCTCGGCCCGTGCAGTGTTTGTGGCAAGCGAGTTGATGCTAACTCCATCATGTTCACCATGTGCAAAAAGTGGGTGCATAGGCGCTGCTCTGGACTGCGCGGGATGTTAGTTAATTTCATCGATATTTTTCAATGCGCAGCATGCACAGGCTGTCACTTTGGGGAACTCGAGCAGGTCAGCAAGTTTACCTATCTCGGCCATTGCATAGATGCAAATGGTGATATGGAAGCCACTAACTGAAAGGATACAAAAAGCCTGGTTGGCTTTCAGAAAACTAGGTGGCACGCTGCTGGGCAAACAAGGCCTTTACCTACACCAACGGGGTATAATCTTTCTTAGGTGCGTGCGACCACTCCTTAAGTACTCCTGCGAAGCATGAGCATTAAATGCGTTGTTAAACAACGTATCACATCTACTGAACGACGCATGGTGCGAATGATGTGTGGGGTCTCTCTAGCGGATTGTGTACCAACCGATGAATTTTTTGAGCGTTTTGAATATCGATTTCCTTGTTCTCGGTGTGGTCGAGACCAGCCAATTAAGGTGATTCCGTCATGTTATGCGAAGAGACACCGCAGACCCAATTCGTCCGGCACTCGGCCTAGAAGCGGAAGGAAAAAGACCCAAAGGAAGACCAAAGAAAACTTGGATATGTGAAGTAGAGAACTTGAAGAAAACACTCCGGCACAGAAAAGAAGACACCTACAAACGTGACTCAAGGCGCTCGGCAATTCAGGGGCGTCCACCGACCTCGGTAGATTGGGACAGGGCAAAAAGAAGTGATGATGACCAGAAACAAGAATGTTTATAGACAAAATACATTCAAAATTATAATAAAAAGCTAGTAGTTGCTTGTTCTCATGTCAAAGCGGAGTGTAAAAGGGCAAACGGGAGTATGGTCATAATCGATGTCTCTCAGCAAGATGTTTAGTAATTCGCCTGCACTCGGGTCCAATGCCTCCGGTTGAGAAAACGTACGGAGTGAATGAACCCTTTTCAACTTTGAGAACGCGTTGACTATATGCACTTTTTTTTCGGCTTCTTGACGGTGGAAGAGTTGATTCAATGTCAATCCAGCATAAGAAAGCGAGTATGGGTGGAAAACCCTGATATAAAAAAGATTTTTGTTGTATATTGGGTTACATAGTAGTATTTAGACAACCGCGTATTCAGAAACTGTATTAACCGATCAGAGTCGAGACAAAGGAAGATATGAAATTCAATTCTTGCTTGTCTCGATTCTGATTGGTTAATTCAGTGTCTGATTCTCAGTCTGGTCGAGACCAGCCAACTCTGGTGGTTCGGCCGTGTTATGCGAAGAGTATCCGTAGACCCAATTCGTCTGGCACTAGACCACAAAGCGGAAGGAAAAAGACCCAAAGGAAGACCAAAGAGAACTTGGACATATGAAGAGGACAACTTGAAAACACGCCGGCTCAGAAAAGAAGACACCCTCAAACGGGACTCATGGCGCTCGGCAATTCAGGGGCGACCGCCCACCTCATTTGACTGGGACAGGGCGAAAAGAAATGACGATGACCAGAAACAAGAATGTTTACAGACAAAATACATACAAATTTATAATAAAAAGCTAGTTGTTGCTTGTTCTCATGTCAAAGCGGAGTGTAAAAGGGCAAACGAGAGTATGGTCATAATCGATGTCTCTCAGCAAGATGTTTAGTAATTCGGCTGCACTCGGGTCCAATGCCTCCGGTTGAGAAAAGGTACGGAGTGAATGAACCCTTTTCAAATTTGACAACGCGTTGACTATATGCTCTTTTCTTTTCGGCTTCTTGACGGTGGAAGAGTTGATTCACTGTCAATCCAGCATAAAAACGCGCGTATGGATAGAAAACCCTGATATAAAAACGCTTTTGTTGTATATTGGGTTACGTAGTGGTATTTAGACAACCGCGTATTCAGAAACTGTATTAACCGATCGAGACAAAGGAAGATATGAAATTCAATTCTTGCTTGTCTCGATTCTGATTGGTTAATTCAGTGTCTCATTCTCAGTGTGGTCGAGACCAGCCAAATGTGGTGGTTCGGCCATGTCATGCGAAGAGCATCCGTAGACCCAATTCGTCTGGCACTAGCATCCGTAGACCCAATTCGTCGAGACAAAGGAAGATATGAAATTCAATTCTTGCTTGTCTCGATTCTGATTGGTTAATTCAGTGTCTGATTCTCAGTGTGGTCGAGACCAGCCAATTGTGGTGGTTCGGCCATGTTATGCGAAGAGCATCCGTAGACCCAATTCGTCTGGCACTAGACCTCAAAGCGGAAGGAAAAGACCCAAAGGAAGACCAAAGAGAACTTGGATATATGAAGAGAATTTGAAAACACGCCGGCTCAGAAAAGGAGACACTCTCAAACGGGACTCATGGCGCTCGGCAAATCAGGGGTGCCCGCCCACCTCAGTAGACTGGGACATGGCGAAAATAAAGGACGATGATCAGGAACAAGAATGTTTATAGACAAAAAAGATTCAAATAATGATAAAAAGCTAGTTGTTGCTTGTTCTTCTGTCAAAGCGGAGTCCAATGCCTCCGGTTGAGAAAACGGACGGAGTGCACGATCCCTTTTCAACTTTGAGAACGCTTTGATTATATATTCTTTTCTTTTCGGCTTCTTGACGGTGGAAGAGTTGATTGAACGTTAATCTAGCATATGAAGGCGCGTATGGGAGGAAAACCCTGATATCAAAAAATGCTTTTTGTGGTATATTGGGTTACGTAGCAGTATTTAGACAACCGCGTATTCAGACACTATTAATTAATCAGAGTCGGGACAAAGGAAGACATGAAATTCATTTCTTCCTTGTCCCGATTCTGATTGGTTAATACAGTGTCTAAATTCAGACCGCACTCCTGGGTGGCCAAAATCTTCTCGTGCTGATGTCAATTCGTTCAAGATTGTCAGTTGTTGCGTTTGCCAGGTCAAACTGCCCTCCTGACAGCGGCTGAAGAAGGGATTCACACATTACTTCTGATAATATAGCACAATTGTTGTCTCGAGAGCCGTGTCTGGACGAGATAAATCCTTCTCGTTTGGATGTCATGCATGGTCGACATGGTGCGTATTCATAGGTTCCAAAATAAAAAATCAGTACCATAGGTTCCAAAATAAAAAATCAGTCCCACAGGTTCCAAAATGAAAAATCAGTCCCATAGGTTCCAAAATAAAAAATAGTCGCACAAGTCCCAAATCTTTTCAATTGGCCAAAAGACTAAATTAGCCGAGTCTCGGTTTAAGGTCGCCGGTGGGCGCGCTACGCAAGTGTCACCACTTTGCGGCAATAACCGGCTCTAAACTTCGTACAGAGTCCTGCCCTCTGTTGACAAGCTCGCAACACGTTGGTGCGGCTGCGCCGGTCACTGTTCTGCAGCTTGAGTTTATGCTGGTTGAACAGTAAACAATCAATAATATAATAATCATAATAACAAAAGATTTAGGAATATAATCCAAGGGTTCGCATAAAACCCAGTCATTGCATTGTTCAAAGTTTAGTTTTCAGTTATAAGTGTAAGTTTCTTCAGGTCTCTACAGTTGTTGCATTCGTATAAAATACGCCAAGTGCAGGTGTCTGATTCGTTGTAGCGAGTTTTGAAAAACTTTGTGTACATTCCTAGAAGTCTGTTTTTGCATTCTGGGTCAAACAATATGTCACATTTGAAGTATTTGTTGTACAGATTAGCAAGACGACATGCCCGAAACCAGAAATCCGACTCGCACTTCTTCAGACGCATTTGTTTGCAGACGAAATTTCGTGTCATTTGAGCTCTTCGGTTTCCAACGTCAGTGATGCTTACATGGCTTCTCCAGTCGATGTCAACTTTTCCAGCTAGTATTTTTGCAAACAGCAGTATAACATGAAGCTCTTGGTATAGAGACAAAGGAAGGATGTTAAGTTTCACGAGTTTGTCTTTTTAGGAGATATGGCTATTGCTTGTCATGAAAATCCACGAGATCGCTTTCCGCTGCACACTTTCTATGATTCCTAAGTCACCTTTTGATGGTTTCCAGATAGCTGAACCGTAGCACAGAATTGGCACAACGTAACAGATATATGCGTTTTTCCTGGTCGCGAAATTCGCCTTTGAGAAATTCCTTTTGAGTACGAAGAGAGCGTTTAAGGCTTTTTCAGCCCTCTTTTTTGCGTGTTGCGTCCAAGAGAGCGTGTCGGTTATCAGGATGTCCAGATCTTTCCTTACTTCTTGGTTTCGAAGCTGTAACTGGGGAGTGCAATCGTAGCTGATCCTTTGATGCAGAGGACTTTACTTTTCGTCAGGTTCATTGACATGCAGTTTTCCTCGCACTTACTCCAAAGTCTCCTAACATCTATGTTGAGAGTTAAAGGGTTGTCTCCAACAATTTTGTAGCCATCTGCATAACCAAATGTTGCGGACATGACACAGGACGGTAGATCATTTATGAAGACAAGGAAGAGAAGCGGCCCGAGTATTTCAACCAATCAGAATTCAAGAAGAAAAATTTTGGAACTCATTCGACTGATTTTTTAATTTAGGAGCTATGAATATTGGAACCTATGGGAATTCACCGGTCGACATAATAAAAACTTTCACAAACAATTTGATTGGGAATGTCAAGGATGTACCGAAACAGAATTACGAATCTAAAATCACTCTTATGGAGCGCAAGTCCATCGTCTTCGATAGGAATGGCACCAAGAAAACGAGCCTTTCAGACTGCTTAGCTATATGTTGCATGGAAAGCAATCAAATGGTCTTCTTTTGCGCGCTTCATGTGAATTTCACGGCACAATTTAGTTTGCAGAGATAAGATGTCGGGATCCAGAATGATGGTTTGTTCCAAGTCGCTTCTAATTTTTTTTTTAAAAGGTCAATTAAAATGGGCCCTTCGGTCATGTGACGGTACGTGCACAGATTGGATAGGGCCCTACCAAAGCTATATAAATACATCAACAAAATTTTATGAATAAATCAAGTCCACATATCCACTTCACTACTTTCTTTTGAAAAAAATCAAGTTTTTGTAGGTATTTTCTCAGAAATTTCGCACAGTGACAGCCGTAGGTTAGGACTGGTAGTAATATTGATTTGTAGAGAACTAGTTTTACAAAGGTGTTGACGTTATATGCTACATTTTGTCTTAGACTGTATAGTAATTTGTTTGCTTTCTTTAATCGTTCGGTTAGATGAGTGCTCCAACTAAGATATCCTAACATGTGAATACCCAGATCTTTTATCGATTTTGGCTGAGGTACACGATTTCCGTTCAAAAATAGATTTATATCAACACCTCTGAAGTTTATTTGAGCGCATTTTTTGAATGCCAGTTCCATGTTGTTTTGTCTAACCCAATCTTCGATTTTGTTTAAGTCAAGTTGTATTTCATCTTGTTTGCGTCCAACAGATAGAATTTTTAGATCGTCAGCAAACATTGAGGGGTCACTGAAGCGTAGGACTTCAGGGAGATCATTTATAAAAACACAGAACAGGAGTGGGCCCAGGAGTGAACCTTGGGGTACCCCGCTGGTTATTTCGAGGACGGTGGATGTGTAGAAATCAATCCGATCAAATTGCCTTCGGTTTCTGAGATAGTCGTAGATGATTTCGAGTAGGTATCCACCTACACCAATATCACTCAATTTTCGGAGTGATAATTTGTGGGGGACTTTATCGAAGGCCTCTGAATAATCAGCATATAAAGCAATGATCTCATCATGGGGATTTTCATCCAGGGCTTTGTAGATTCGATTTAGGAATTGGAGCATGTTGCTCATAACGGAGCGTTTCTTCACAAAACCGTGTTGCTTTATGGAAAGGTGGTCTTTAAAGTGCTCATAGAGTAGAGAGTACATGCATTTTTCAAAGATTTTGCTGTCAATGTTTAGAAGAGAGATTGGGCGATAGTTTTCAACATCTTTTGGGTCGTTCTTTTTGTGAATGGGTGTTACAGCCGCTGTTTTCCAACTCGTTGGCATTTTGCGTATGCGTTTAATTTTCTTGAAAAGCTAATTGAGTATATTACTCATTTGCTTGCCGCATCTTTGATAAAACCCGGGAGGTAGACCATTTGGTCCGCGAGTTTTTGTAGTGTCTATATTAGCCAGAATATTACTTATTGTTTTGTTTGAAACGCTGAAGTTTGTTTGGGTTGGTGATTCGCACTTTATGTCAAGGAAGTTGTAGTTCTTTTTGGCTGAAAACACTGAGTGAAAAAATTTGTTAAATATTTCTACTTTTTCTTCTGGACTTGATCGTTTTCGGGATGTTCGAAGCTCTATTGATATGCTTGAGGTGCTTGTAAATTTGACCACAATTTCTTGAACCAAAAATTTTTTCTCAGTATGAGATTCGATCATGTTCACAGAATTCAGTGATTTGGCTTTCTAGTTTGAGGACCTTATTTTTTCGGTAGTTGGTTCAGGGAAAGGTATCTCTTGAGTCTAACTGGTAAGGTGTTTCTTGAATTGGTTGACACGTGAGATCGCCTGAAAATAGAGCGACGATGGCGGATCGTTTCTGGAAATCTATGCCGGCCGCGCTCAAAAGGCCTACCCTCGACGATCTATACTAGCGCTTGAGGGATCTTGACTACACTCAGGTCGATGAGAGGTTGGCGGTGTTGTTGAACACCATCCTACAATTAGAGGCGCAAGGGTAATGTAGAGAATCAGCGACTGAAGCCGTCCTGATGGTTGGCTACACCTCAGATGGAATATCCAATCAAAAACAGACCAGATGGCTGTCCTGGAACGTGGATGGAACGACTTGGCCCGAAATCCCGGCTTGAGCAATAAAACGGAGTATGGTGCGGGAGAGTTCCCACTTCCCACCAGACCGCCAGCGGGATTTGCAGCCCAACCCACGATCAAGCCATTGTCCATGATACGGTCTCAGCAACTTGAAGAAGGAACTAAAGAGGGCTCAGAGGGAGCGGGACAAATCGAACTCTTGATAGGGATGGCGGGAAACTTAAGAGGGACCAGGCGAACCATGAAAAAGATCAAGCGATCCTCGAGAGGGATCAGGCAAGGCGCGATCTGAGCATGATTAGGGCGGAGTCATTGCAGGCACAGAAAGTGCGCGAGAATGAGGCGAACTGCGAGCAGATAAATTCAGAGATGGAAAAGATTCAGAGGAGGCAACGAGAGTTCGCGAAGCAGAAAGAAAGGAAGATGAGGACGACAGAACCAGCTGCCGCGGGATCGAGACCAGAATCGCGGATGAAGGTGGATGAGATTCCCCGGTCGAGTGGTCGATTTAATTTAGACTGAGGAGCCCAGGAGCAAATGAATGAGGGGCTAGAGGTATGGATACCACCTGAGCCGGTGCCCTCCGTGCGTGGTCTAGAGACGCAACCGATACGGCCATTGATGGATATCGCGCTGCCGGGGCACACTCCCAGTTCAACTCCCGGTAGTAGCCGAATCGGCACGGGTTCATCGCGCCCTAAGGAGTTACATGATATGCTGCAGTCGAGGACTCAGCACGAGAAGAGCGACCTTCCACCTGGAGGGAACATCCAGTCAGGAATGCAATAATCGCTAGTTACAAAAAAAACATGGATGCCGCCTAACACGGGCACAACCGCATGGACTGGACAACGGCGCAACGGGCGAGAGGGGATTGCTTCCATGACGGGTCTTGGGCTGAATACTTCACACAGCCAAAAAAAAACAGAGGGTGCGGTTCACTTGATCAGCCTAACATGAGTGCTGACGCGAATCCAGTCACATTGGCAAGTTGGGGTCTTGACTTTTCTGGAGTTTCAACACCGCAGATGTTGGCGTCACTAGAGATGTTGGACATGGTGAAGATGTACACGGTCACTTTGATGATGAGAACCAATGACGTGTCCAGGGGGAGTCGAGAAAGGTGATGAGGCTGCACGAGAAGATTAGTTGCATTCTTGAGGAGTTGAGGATTTATCTAGATCCCGCGATACCACGATTTGAACTTTCCCTTGCAACATGAAGGCTGACCAGCACGCGAGGGAAACGAATGAGAAAGTGCGCAACATCAACGAGAAAGTTTGACGGATCCAGCAGAGAAGCGTGCTCCCCGTAAGACTGTTGTACGTGGCAAACAGGATGGAACGATCTCTTCCGGATGATGCGTCTTCGGATGGCATTCATTTTGATAGGCCCAGGGGCATGGAGTGGCTGAATGGTGTCTTCCAGAGGCATATAAACATGCTGGAGTCGGACTTGCTGGAAATGGCCCAGTTCACCTTTGGTCCACCCCAATACCTCCCTTCTTTGCAACTAGGCCCCTATCCGGCCATCTGGGAGCGAGAATTGACTCGAGAGCTTGCTCAAGGAGCCGCCGCACCAGACAACTGGGATCCACGCCGATGGAAGCAGAGGAGGCAGAGTCATCCACGCCCCAAAGCTCAGTGGTGTCGTCAGTGGTGGTGGTGGACAATAAGAAGGCGGAGAGACCAGCGGAGACGAGCAAGGCACGGTATCAAGAGAGGGTGAAAGAGTTGGATGTGGAGAATTTAGCATGCAGCTTATGGCTTCGGAGCATGGATCTTATAATCACGAGCTCACCAGTAAGGCGAGGGGACCGAGCAACAAAAGTAAGAATGTACCTGCGACGAAAAGCAGTTGGACGCGATGGGGTACCGCTTAACGCAAGAGAGAGACAGGTGGCCGTTTCTAACCCCAAGGCTAGAGAACGCCAAGTACAAGACGCGGGAGAGTGCTCCACCTCTCATCAAACAAAATTAGAGTTTCTTGAGGGGCAGCTGGAAGTGGTAGAAAACATAGAGATGACGGTGGGAAGATTTGTCACAGCGGCGAATGAAGTCACCATTGGAGGGTTCTGGAGGGAGCACGCAAATGGCGAATTGAAGACCAGAAAGAACTATGAAATTTTGAGATTCTTGAGCCCATGCTGGGAGAAGAGGTATATGGGTAGAGTATTCTATGGGGGGGGGTGCCATCTTCGATGCGTTCGTGCAGGAATTACTGAATATGCCCATTAACCTCTTACTGGCCCTGTACTTGGTCTACGCCAGGTACCTATTCAACATGGGTCCCGCCTACATGTTTAGCAGGGGTGTGGAAACGCTCCAAATTGACGGATATTTGACATTGGTGACTCTTGACCCATGGAGAACTGATGGCGTTTTATCGGCTGATGAAGTATGGGCAACCCCTTTCGACAGGGAGGACTCACCCAAGTGTGGAATATTATTCGTAAAAGTGCGCTGCCGGGCTGAAGACTTTGCTGGTAGAGTATCTTTGCTGGGGGGGTGGATATTATTTTAAAAAACGCAATAGTGGGGGACTTAGGTTAGGTACAGAACGTCTCGGTCTAAAAATAGTTTTTTTTTCAGATGGATTTACAAAATCGAATTGACAATCAAACCACACTCGTAAGAAGAGAAAAAGAGATCTTGAGCAAATTCTCCATTAGCAGTGTCGGAGGAAAACGTTTCTCAAGTGTCAACTTGGTAAAGGTGTTTCTTGAGTCTAACTGGTAAGGTATTTCTTGAGTTGGTTCAGGGAAAGGCATCTCTTGAGTCTAACTGGTAAGG